GGGAGCTGGATTGGACACAGCAGCCAGGAGAACTGGCACTCTGATATGGGATACTGAGATTGCAAGTGACAGCCTAACCCATTGTGCTATAACACTGGTCCTATGAAAATTATTTTCACAATTCAAGGGTATCTTTTTTCAAAAATTTGAGACAGAGAAATGAGGGGTAAAAGGAGGGAGGGAGGGAGGGAGACAGAGAGAGACAGAAATATGAGAGAATACTTCCACCTACTTATTCACAAATGTGCACAATGGCTGGGACTGAAGCAGGAACCAGAAACTCAGGCTAGGTCTTCCATTTGGGTAACAGAAATCCAATTACTTGAGCCGTCACTGCTGTCTTCCAGGGTCTGCATTAGTAAGAAGTTGGAGTCAGGAGCCTGAGCCAGGAATTGAACTCAGGCACTCCAGTGTGGGTTGTGCATATCTTAATTGGTGTCTTAACTGCTAGGTCAAATGCCTGCCTCCAGATGTATGTTTAAAACTCAAGGGAATGGTACTGAGTACTGGAATGATAGCAGCACCCACACAGTTATCAACATCTCTCACTTTTTGGGAGTTCTATGTTCTTAGCTGTCCTTTTGTTTACTTCTTGTCCTTTTGTTTACTTCATCTTTTTTTTTTTTAAAAAAAGATCTATTTATTTACTTTGAAAGTCAGAGTTACACAGAGAGAGGAGAGGCAGAGAGAGGGAAGGGAGGGAGGGAGGAAGAGGGGAAAGGGGAAAGGAAAGGGAAGGAAAGGGAAAGGAAGGGAGAAGTCTTCCATCCACTGGTTCACTCCCCAATTGGCCGCAATGACTGGAGCTGCGCAGATCCAAAGCCAGGAGCCTGGAGCTTCTCTCAGGTCTCCCACGCAGGTACAGGGGCCCAAGGGCTTGAGCCATCTTATACTGCTTTCCCAGGCCATAGCAGAGAGCTTGATCGGAAGTAGAGCAGCCAGGTCTCGAATTGGTGCCCATATGGGATGCTGGCACTGCAGGTGGCAGCTTTACCCACTACGCCACAACATCGGCCCCAGACAATCATCAATTTATGTCTCCCTTTCAGTTTAGATTGAGAATGACTTGCTACAGGTCCACTTCCATAGTCACGACCCAGCTTGGGTGAAATTAATTGTGGCTGTGAAGCAAAGCCTTGTGTACAAATAAGGCTGTAGGGACTTGCTCCCCAGAGAAGAGTAGATATATACTGTAGATTTAGTAGATGTCCCATTGTCATAATCCTACTAAATATAAGTGAAGAATAGGCCGGCGCCGTGGCTCACTAGGCTAATCCTCCACCTTGCGGCGCCGGCACACCGGGTTCTAGTCCCGGTCGGAGCGCCGGATTCTGTCCCGGTTGCCCCTCTTCCAGGCCAGCTCTCTGCTGCGGCCAGGGAGTGCAGTGGAGGATGGCCCAAGTGCTTGGGCCCTGCAACCCATGGGAGACCAGGAGAAGCACCTGGCTCCTGCCTTTGGATCAGTGCGGTGCGCTGGCCACGGCGGCCATTGGAGGGTGAACCAATGGCAAAAGGAAGACGTTTCTCTCTCTCTCTCTCTCTCTGTCCACTCTGCCTGTCCAAAAAAAAAAAAAAAAAAAAAGAAGAATAGGCAACAGAGAAATGGATATGACATTAGTGTTTGAATGAGGCATATGGAAAGATTACAGGGTGTGTTTAGTGACTGGGACCCAGCAATCATGGCTTGGCCAGACTGCAGTCAGGAGCCTGGAACTCCATCCAGGTCCTCTACGTGGGTGGTGGTGACTTGAGTCATCACCTGCATATTGGCGGAAATGCTGGCAGGAAGTGGAGTAGCATGGACTCAAACTGGACATCCAGTGTGAGATGCAGGCATCCAGAGCAACAATTTAATTTCTGTGCCACATGTCTGCCCTTAGAAGGAAGCTGTCCAACCCAGCTTCGATGGGTTGCCTCTACCTATTTTTGGAAGGAGTATACATTCTTATCAGGACATCTCAAATCTCCTCTAGACTGACTAATCACTTCATTTCATCAGTCAGCAGAGGCACAAGTATGAACCAAGCTTCCCATCATCTGTAAGATCCATAGATCTGTTTCCCCTGCATCTCCTGGGAAGCCACAGCATGAAACACTGGTTATGGTCCCTCACCTACTATAATTTTTGCTTCTGTGGACTGTTTGCAGGTCCCTGATATAACAGAGAACTGGAAGGGCTTGTGAGTAGTGTGGACACGGGTGTTCTTGTTCATAATCCAGGTGGCCTTGGTGTTGGCCTAGCTGTTCATGCTCTAGGAATCTCACTTTCATCACTTATAAAATAAGATGTTGGACAACAGGAAGGTAAAGGCAAAAAGGACTTTCACTTTACTTCATGTGACTCAATTCAGTTACTCTCATTTCCCTTTTCTTCTTTTCTAGATGAGCATGTGCTAACTTCTAAATAAAAAACAGAAAAAAAAAAAATGGAGTGGGACCAATGTTATGGCACAATGGGTTAAGCCGCCACTTGGCAATCTCAGTATCCCATATCAGAGTGCCAATTCTCCTGGCTGCTCTGCTTCCAATCCAGCTCCCCGATAATGCACTGGGAAAGTGGTAGAGTGAGTGGTAGAGGGGGCATATATTTGGGGAGGTGTTTTCTTCTTTGGACATTATTATATTTGTAAAGATGGAAAGATGCAAGATAATGTGCTCCTGATTATGTTTGAAAGGAAAAGTAGTTTTTATGCAAGTGAAGACAATCCATAGGATCCTACAAATTGCTATAACTTCCCTTTTTTTCTTTATGTAACTTTTTTCTTAGGTCGGGGGGAATTTGCATTGCATCATAGCATTCCAGAGACTTAATTGGCAAAGATTTGGCCTCTGGAGCTTTCCATTTGGAAACTTAAGACAAGAATCACAACCTCCAACACATGCCCAGGGAATTGCTAAATCTGAGAGTGAAGACAATATCTCCAAGAAGCAACATGGGCGTCTGGGCCGATCCTTCAGCGCTAGTTTCCATCAGGACTCTACATGGAAAAAGATGTCAAGTATCCATGAGAGAAGGAACAGTGGCTACCAGGGCTACAGTGATTATGATGGGAATGAATGACTATGCTGGGTACTGAACAACTGGTGTTGTACATGTAACTGTTATATACAGGACTGTATTAAGACAGTAGATTTTATTGTTTATATTAAATAGAAACAGATCTTGTGGTATAAAACCTAATCTTGTAGTTCTCCAGTAAATAATCTTGTATTTGATTGTGCTGGGCAATTTCAGATACATAAGTAGATAAGCACAGATTATTGTCCTTTTAAAGTTTAATAATATATGAACAGTCTGGATATTTCACAAAATCCAACAAAACTATAACTGCTGTGTAAACAAATCAAACAAAATTAACAGCATAAAATTTGCATACTTAAGCATGAAGTGATTTGTTATAACTTGATCCCTAAACATTTGTTAAAGACAGTTTTATTCTTAGGATCAAGGTGTAAGTTGCCATCCACCCATAAAAATTGGGGACTGTCAATTTCTAGTTTTTGCTGATGGTTAAAACTCATTTAAAATTAGTGAGTCTAGTAGTTCATTTGCTTATATCGGTATCTTGCCTGCCTCATTTATTTCCTGATTAATTTTCTCAGGATTTTTGATAGAGGGGCAAAAGAAAAAAACATTCAAGAAACTGATTTTTTTTTCCTACTGGTGCAAGTGGATAACTTAGTTCATTGATTCAGATATTCTTGACTTGATATGTTGTTATCAAATACAGACAGAAATTGTAGGTCTTGAAAGACATCTCAAGTCTAAAATTAACTTTTGTTTTAGAGATAGAGTAAAACAAGTAACATCTGTAGTTTTTATATCCAATGTAACCTGTGAAACAAGATCTTTTGATACTTGATTGGTCCTTCAATATGGAGTCATACGTTGAAAACAGCATTGAAGATGCATTAGGAATGCAGAAAGAGGACACTACCCATACTCCAAATCTGAGCTGTTTCTTTTTTCATAGCATATAGATGATTAGCTGTTTGAAATGAGTATTAAATATCTGAAAAGTGTGGCTTTCATATATTTGAGCTCTCTAGCTGCTGTTTTTCTTCTGCTGCCAGCTGTGACTCAAAAATAATTAGAATCTGTTCTTTCCTTTCAGGGTCTTGTTTGAGGACTCAAATCAGTAACTTGTTGATTACAAGGTGCTGAATATGTTGGTAACCATATCGCAATACACCTCAAGGAGAGGGTTCAGATTTTTATTTTTAAAATATTTTGTTTTCTCTTGAATTTTATATCCATTTATCCACTCATACATACCTAGCCTACAGAAGGGAATATATATGTGAAATGGTCATTTTTCTGAAGAGACTATTTTGCTTGCAATGCAAATGACTGAAAGATATTTGTAGGTTGTCAATTTTGTTACTTCATACTGGAACTTTTAAAACGTTTTCATCTAATAAAGTTTTGTTTTCTACTTTTAATCATGTGAGTTTTTTTTGTCTTTTTTTATTTAAAGTTTTTATTTAATGAATGTATTTTTCATAGGTACAACTTTAGGAATATAGTGGTTCTCTCCTCCACACCCGCCCTCCCACCCTGACTCCCACCTCCCTTTCCCGTCCCCTTCTTCATTATGGTTCATTTTTAGTTTGATTTTATATCCAGAGGACCAACTCCATGTTAAGCACTGATTTCAACAGTTGGCACCCACACACACAACATATAGAGTACAGTTTGAGAATAAGATTTGCAGTTAAATCTCATAGTTGAACTCATTAAAGAATGGAGGTCCTACGTGGGGAGTAAGTGCACAGTGACTTTTGTTGTTCCTTTAACAATTAACACTCATTTATGACGTCAGTGATCACCCAAGGCTCTTGACATGGGCTGCCAAGGCAATGGAAGCCTTTTGTAACCAGATTCCATCAGTATTTGGACAAGACCATAAGCAAAGAGGATGTTCTCTCCTCCCTTCAGAGAAAAGTACATCCTTCTTTGATGGCCCCTATGTGAATGTTTTTGCACGTTTATTTTAGGTAGGGAGTACCTGCATAACTTTGAAGTACATGGTAACTTATCACTTCTGTCCAACTAGTGTTAGAAGAAATCACCTTGAATCTTACTTTTATAATCAATGAAACAATACACAGACTATAATTTTAGATTCTTATGTTACTTTATAATAAGAAACAATATTTGATTCTTTTTCTTTTTATTTGAGAGGTACAGTTACAGAGAGAGGGTGAGACAGAGAGGGGTCTTCCCTCCACTAGTTCACTCCCTACATGGCCACAACAGCTCGAGCTGGGCCATTCTGAGGCCATGAGCTTCACCCAGGTCTCCCATGTAGGGAAAGTTAAGATTAATTTTTCTGTGATTTTTTTCTCATTGGTAAAATGGTTTTGAAAAATAAGCTATTACATGTAGTATTACATGTAGTTTAGATGTTTCTTATAGATAGTGCTATTTATGTGCTTACTAATACTCCTTTAGATTTTTTATTCTTTAGATTCTTTATAATGAGCTCTTTAATCAGCTTCTAAAGGAGATAATACCTTTTAAATCAAACATACAGTCCTTAGTTGCTCTTCCTTCAAAAGTATTTCATATTTAAGAAATGTCGCTGTGGTTTTCAAAGGATGTAGAGGCCAGCGCTGCGGCTCAATAGGCTAATCCTCCACCTGCGGCACTGGCACCCCGGGTTCTAGTCCCGGTTGGGGCACCGGATTCTGTCCAGGTTGCCCCTCTTCCAGGCCAGCTCTCTGCTGCGGCCCGGGAGTGCAGTGGAGGATGGCCCAAGTCCTTGGGCCCTGCACCCCATAGGAGACCAGGAGAAGTACCTGGCTCCTGGCTTCAGATCAGCGCGATGCGCTAGCTGTAGTGTGCTGGCTATTGGAGGGTGAACCAACAGCAAAAGGAAGACCTTTCTCTCTCTCTCTCACTGTCCACTCTGCCTGTCAAAAAAAAAAAAAAAAAAAAAAAAAAAAAAAAAAAAGGGTAGAATGCTCACGGTCACGGATAAAGAAACTTCCTAGGATCACAGGGTGACTTAGTTTGCTAGTACCGCTATAACAAAATGCCATATACTGTGTGGCTTCCACAAATGTATTTTGTCACAGTTCTGGATGCCAGCAATCCAAGATCAAGGTCTTGGCAGGCATGTTTTGATTCTTCTCTCCTTGGCTCACGTCTGGCCGCCTTCTTAATGTATCCTCATGCGGGCTTTTCTGTGTGTAGGCATCCCTGCTCTGTCCCCAACTGTACAAATTTCCTCCTCCTATAAAACACCAGACAGGATTACAGCCCACTCTAATGCCCTCATTTTAGCTTAATTACCTAACTTCAAATACAGTCATACTCTGAGGTACTAAGTTAGTAAAGCTTCCACTTAAAAATTTTGGAGGAGGATGAAATTCAAGCTACAAGATGTTATTTGATGGCTCAGATGAGAACTGAAGTAACATTTGTCAAAAGTAGATTCTTTTGGCAGAGTAGAGCTTTATTTGTATTTATTTGAAAGGGAGAGTGATGGAGGGAGGGAGAAATAATGAGATTTTCAAACCACTGGTTTACTCCCAAATACCTGCAACACCAGAGGTAGGCCTGGTTGAAGCCAGGAGCCAGGAATTCCATCTGGCATCTCCTACATGGTTGGTAGGAACCTATTAGAGCCATCATGTACTGCCTCCCAGGGTGCACATAGCAGAAAGCTAGATCAGAAGTGGAGGTGGAACTCAATCCCAGGCCCTCTGATATGAGATGTAGGTGTCCCAAGTGGTGGCCTAACCTGCTGCGCCACAACATCTGATCCTGGAGCGCTTTAGACTGGAGACCTGCCTCAATTTATGGACAGTATTTATGGAACTCCTGTTAAGCGTCAGAAGTGGAGGAAATAACAGTCAAGCTAGCTCTTGGTTTGAGTAGGTTTAGTTTGCTGTGAGGCAAAGACTGAATAGGCAATAAAATTACTATTATGGTTTGAAAATGATTTGCTTCCAGAACTTATGCAGGACTTTAAGTCCCAAAGCCCCATGTTAATGATATTAAGAGAATGGAAACATAATTCAATTACGGTACTTAGAAGGTGGGCCTTGTGGGAGATCCTAAGGTATTTGGGGGCGTGCCCCTGAAAGGTAGTTCTGGTTTGAGGATTGGTTATAAAAGCCTGAGTTGGGCCCAGCCACTCCATTATTCTGTTCTCTGGTTCACCAAGCAATTCTTTACCGCTCCCCCACTGCAACACTCATTAGAGACTAAACCAGTGTTGAACAGGGTCACTCAGTCTTGGATGTGAATTTTCAAAACTGCTAGCTAAGCAAATCTTTTCTGTTTTAGAAAGTTAGTTACAATAACAAAAAGCTGACCAATGGTAAATACAACACTTTTCTAGGGATTATTTTACACATGGAGAAAATGCACAATGTGCTTTGTCAGAATTATTCCTGATAGAAAACTGATTTTGACTACATTGATTAAACAGGCCTACCATTAACCAACTATTTCTGTTTTACTAAAAACTTACTTCTGATAGTCTCATTACAAATGATTCCTTAAAAATACAACCTGCTCCTTTAAGGCAATCTTTCTGAGTTTGGATCCAGTTTCAACACTATAGTGTGAATTCACTAAGTGTGAATAAGCAGCGATCTAGTTTCAGTACTGTAGTTCCCAGGTGAATATGTGAGCTAATAGTATCATTTGTCAAGTAGCTACCGAACAAAGGGATCAGCACCTATCACTTCTAATCCTCATTAAAATAGACTTGTTGGACGCCCTCTGTACAGACAAAGCCAGACATTCTAAGGTTGGTTGTTTGAATCTTGGCCTGAGCGTCCTGGAGCCTATGACTTTCTGGAGTTAATGTGGGAATTTCATATCCTTTCTTACGCACAAGCCATTGAATTTTAACTTTCAGATCCTGGAGAAAACTATATCTCAAAAATTAAGGCTTTAATCTGTATTACTAATCGCCACACGCTATCCTACAAATAACTATTAGTTTAGAAACACTCAATGCAGACCACCTTTCAGTTGTCGCTTCACCTATAAAAAAAAAACCGTTGGTATCACTTCACAACCGGCGGCGCAATGAAGCAGAGGCTGACCCAGAAAGTCGCGCGGTCAACCCTCACCTCGGCAAGGCGGCACGGGGCATGGAGCTCCCGTTCACTTCCGGCGCGCCGCGGGCGCAGCGAGTGTACGTCAGAGCGCGGCGCCAGGCTTCCGCTCCTGGCGTCGCATCAGACGGAAGCCGAGTGGCCCATTTCTAGTGGGTTTGCGGACCCACCTGAGCAGGCGAGTGGTACCCGCGGTGTCAGTGCGCTCACCCCAGCTTTCCCTCAGGAGTGCAGACATTGGCGCCTCGGGTCGGACAGAGTGCGCTCCTTCCCGCAGGCGGCCATTCCCTGGTCTCGCCCTTGTTCCGGGAGGCGGTGTCTGCCTCGCTATCCCTGATGCCGGTTGCCCCTGGCAAACCTCGGGCTCTGCGTTGCTTTCCATCATCCCCGGGGCCCCGCGCGGCGGCGTAGCCTGTTGCAGGAAGACTCGAGTCGAGGGTCCCCGCCGGCGGCCTCATGGGGGTCCAGGGGCTGTGGAAGCTGCTGGAGTGCTCCGGGCGGCAGGTCAGCCCCGAGACGCTGGAAGGCAAGATCCTGGCTGTCGGTATCCTAACGCCGCGTGGGCGCGTGGGTGCGGGTGCGGGGTGCGGGGCTCCCCGGGCGGGGTGCGGGAGCCAGCGGCGCTGTGGGGAGCGCCCGGGGCCGTGCGGGTGCGGGGTGCGGGGTGCGGGGCTCCGTCCCCGGCTCTGCCTTCCAGCGCGGGGACCGGGTCCGTGCCCGCCGCCCCGCGGCCTGGTTCTCTGCGAAAGCGGCGGTGATAAGGGAAGCGACACGCGGGTCCGTGTGGGGCCCATCATATTTCCTGCTGTGCTGGGCTTGCTCCGTTGACGGTTCTTTTCTTAATTGACAACTTCTATTAAATTATGGGTTTGGAAATATTAAATTCATGTTGTACATCACTGAAAATATTTCAAAAGTATACAGTGGATTATTTTCTTCTTACCCCTGGAGTTGACTTTTTTGGTGCACATATTTGGCTGATTTGCTTGTGTCGTTGGAATTCAATTTTTTTTAAAAATTATTAAAATGTTAGTGTTTTTTGAAAATTTTTGTTCAAGTAAAACACTTTTTTGACTGACCCTGCTATGCCAGGTACCTTACACCAGTTTCCAAAATGGGGACCAGTTATGTAAACAATAGAAGGACCAGGGGAGGAGCGACCTGATTGACATCTCAAGAATCTGCGAATTCAGCAAAGAAGTTAGTTCTTCAGTATATAAACAACTTAGAAATAATGGGACATTGGTAATTTTTGAGGTATCATGAGATTATTTTTTGCCAGGTGAATGATTTTCAGATCTATCTGTAATGAAATTTTGACTTGAAGGTTTTTATGCAGGGTACTTTGAGTTGGGGAAAAAGAAAAGATTTTTTAGACTGTGCACTGTTGTTGCCATCTAGTGGTCTGAGGGTCTCATCACACCCTAAAGATTTCCCTAGATCTATGGGTGGGTGAGTTTTGGACACAGTAACACTAAAAACTTGAGCAAAGATTTGGGTCGTTTTATGTTGCAGCTCTTTTTATTTATTTATTTATTTATTTATTTGACAGGCAGAGTGGATAGTGAGAGAGACAGAGAGAAAGGTCTTCCTTTGCCGTTGGTTCACCCTCCAATGGCCGCCACGGCTGGCGCACCGCGCTGATCTGATGGCAGGAGCCAGGTACTTATCCTGGTCTCCCATGGGGTGCAGGGCCCAAGCACCTGGGCCATCCTCCACTGCACTCCCTGGCCACAGCAGAGAGCAGGCCTGGAAGAGGGGCAACCGGAACAGAATCTGGTGCCCTTACCGGGACCAGAACCCGGTGTGCCAGCGCCGCAAGGTGGAGGATTAGCCTAGTGAGCCGCGGCGCCGACCTTATGTTGCAGCTCTTATGAGGAATTAAGAATTTGTGAAATGGAGCTGACACATGAAGTTCAGTATTCAAACTATTTAGGGCATTGTCTAAGGAAAGGTAAAAACATTTCACATAGGATATTTGTTGATGGCTCAAAGAGATATTTGGAACATGAAACCACTTTTAAGAGGTTAAACAGGACTATGAAAGATACTCTGGTTACAGTGATAATCTCATATGTGTTGTGTAGTGTGCTCTGTCTACAGTTGGCTTTCTTTTTTTTTTTTTTTTTTAATTTATTTGAAAGGCAGGGTAGTGGTGGTGGTAGAGATCTTCCATCTGCTGATTCTCTCCTTGAATTCCCACCACATCTGGGGCTGGGCTGGACTGAAACCAGGAATTTGGAGCTCCATCTGTGTCTCCCACATGGGTTGTAGGGACCCGAGCACTGGGGCCCTCCTCTGCTGCCTCCCAGAATGCATTAGTAGGAAGCTGAGTCAGAATTGGAGTAGCTGGGACTCCACCTAGCACTCCGATGTGAGATGTGGGTCCCCAAGCCGTGGCTCAGTCTGCTGCACCAGGACACCCTGCTCCCTTTGCTCTCTTTTCATGGAGATTCAGACATCGGAAATATATTTAGATTTTGTTTGTTTGTTTGTTAAAGAAGAACTTACCAATGACTGTAGCAGCTGCATAATTCACTGTTGGATCCCTAAAATAAATTGATCTTTTACTATCTATATAGGTGAGTGTCCTGTTTGTTGATATAATCTCAATGTCTGTGTCAAATAATATAGAAGTAACAGTTTAACTTTTGTTTCTTATGGACCTTAGCATTTGTAAAATGCATGTAAGTGTGTTATTATACCTTTATGTTATGCATAATAATGGCAAATTTAGAGTTTCCTAACTATAGGATTAAAAAAATTCTTCAGAATGTTGCCATTCCGTTGAGTCTTCTCACGAAAGTGATTTCTGGCATTGTTCCAGATTTTAGCTCTTCTGGTCCTGGGAGAAATTTAATTTTACCTCCTAAAAGTGTTGAAATTAGTCAAGTTGAATTATGCAGCTTTTTTTAAGTTTGTCTAATTTTACATGTTTATTACTTTTCTAAGAATTTTAAGCTAGAACCTCTCTGCTGAAAATTGGCACTACTTATGATTGATTAAAAAAAAAGACCCACTTCAATTAGAATATGCCTAAGCTTAGGCAATTTAGCTGTATATATGTTTCAAAACTTTAAATCCTGTTCTAATTGGTAGTAGGGTTGAGAGCCCCAGATGTGGAATTCATGGGCCCTGTAGAGACTTACTTAATTCTACATGATAGTGTAGCAAGCAGAAACACTCCCAACAGAAACTTGTATCCAGTACCTTACAGATTCAAGTCTATACCAAGTTCTACTTCTCAGAGGGCTCCTTCTTGTGGTCTGAACCACCAGTATGCACTTTAACTTGGACCATTGTAACTAACTCTTTTAAAAAACTGGTTTCTGCATAATTATTCCACACATCCACCAAGGTGATCCTTACATCACTTTCTGAAAACCTAATGACATCCACATCAGCTCTTACAGTTACCTCTTCCACCATCTAGCTGGTCCTCTCTCCCTGTGGTTTATCCCCCAGCTCCTTTTAGTCATTAAGGTCTTGGTTGCCTCTTAGGTAGGCCTTCCCCAACTAAACAGCCCTCAACTCCTATTTGTTCTTTTTGCTCTTTTTTTTTTTTTTTTTTTTTTGACAGGTAGAGTTAGAGAGAGAGACAGAGAGAAAGGTCTTCCTTTTCTGTTGGGTCACCCCCCCAAATGGCTGCTAGCCATCCGAAGCCAGGAGCCAGGTGCTTCCTCCTGGTCTCCCACGCGGGTGCAGGGCCCAAGCACCTGGGCCAACTTCCACTGCCTTCCCGGGCCACAGCAGAGAGCTAGACTGGAATGCTCTATTTATTTTTTCTTACTGCTCAACTACAGCTTAATGCATTATTTTTAAATTGTCTTTCCTATTAAAATGCAAGCTTTTTTGGCATGGGCATCATATGTTTTGTATGTGACTATATTCAGTTCATATATTTAGGGTTGGATATGCTTGGCTCATGATAGCATTTAACTATGATAGGTCTAAATATTATGACAGCTTGCCTTCCACTAAGCTCCATAATGGCCCAAGCACTTTGTGGTGTTCAGTGTTATATCCCTAGTGCATTAAAAAATTCCTGCTTCATAACAAACAACATGTTTCTGAATAATAATGTGTAACCAGAGGTCTTTATCTAGGCCGAGGAAGTGACCTGTAGACTGAGACCTCAGTAGGAGGTAACTGGATTGAGAGGGGGAGAAAGGATTTTGGGCAGAGGAAGGGCGTGTGGGAAAACCCTGAAGGCAGGAAGTGATATCCAGGTTAGAGTAAAGCCCAAAGCCTTGAAGTGAGATGGGAAAAAAGAAGAGGCCAGAACACTCTGAACTTTGCAGGCCATGGAAGAGTTTTAGATCTCCTAAAGGCTCCAGAAGTTTGAAAACGTTTTCTCTAATGATATATTGATAAAAGCTAATATATGCCTTCCAAATTAGGACGTAGAATTGGAAGACCTTGTAATGTGGGGAATCGTGTGACAACACCCAGAGCTGTGGTTGATGGATGAGAGACACTGCGATGGGGCTTGAGCGCCGAGTGGAGGAGACATGGAGTCAGTTTTGATGTCTGTGAGGTACCATGTAGAGATGTCAACTTTAGGAGCAAGCTTTGGGCCATACGTGTACAGATAGGATGTGTGTGGGAGTGGATGTGGTGTGGGGTGAGTTAGTCTTACTAGATCATGTAGACAGGAGAGAAGAAGAGGGCCTAACAAAGTTCATTGAGAAACAGTTTCACGGCAAGTTAGAGGAGCTGGCAGAGTACTGGGTCACTCTAATGGATAAACATAAAGTACATTTTTAAAGAAGCATTTTTTTATGATGGGCATCGCAGAGCAACAGATTAAGCCAGTTTGTGACACCCACATCTGCCATCTGAGAGCCTGCATTTTAGTCTCCAGCTTTCTGCTAATGTGCACCTTGGGAGACAGCGGATAATGGCTTACATACTTCAATCCCTGCCACCCATGTGGGACACCCAGGTGGAGTTTCTGACTCCTGGTTTTGGCCTGGCCCAAATCTAGCTGTTATGGGCATTTGGAAGAACTAGCAGCTGGGAGATTCTCTTCTCTCTCTCTCTTTCTCTCTGTCTCTGTTTCTGTCTCCCTGCCTTTCAAATAAAATAAACTTGGAAACATTTCTTAGAAAAGCCTAAAAATCTAAGAAAATTCCAGAAGAAAACAGACTACCTTTAATCTTAGCAGAAATAACTATTCATAATATTTTGGATGTGAACTTCTAGTTTTTATATTTAACATAACAGATAATATGAATGGAAGTATATTTTATGCTTCCTTTTTGTGACTATTTTATCACTAGCTACACTTCTGGAACTTTCATTTTTAGAGACTTCTTGATATTCTAGCAAAGAAATATATCATAATTTCATTTTCAAAAAAGACTTGTTGGAAATGTTTTAAAATTCCTCATCTTTTCATTGTTAGAAACAAGCATTCCTTTTTTAAAAATTTTTAAATTTTTTTATTTTTTGACAGGCAGAGTGGACAGTGAGAGAGAGAGACAGAGAGAAAGGTCTTCCTTTGCCATTGGTTCACCCTCCAATGGCCGCCGCGGCCGGCGCCCTGCGGCTGGCACACTGCGCTGATCCAATGGCAGGAGCCAGATACTTCTCCTGGTCTCCCATGGGGTGCAGGGCCCAAGCACTTGGGCCATCCTCCACTGCACTCCCGGGCCACAGCAGAGAGCTGGACTGGAAGAGGGGCAACCGGGACAGAATCCGGCGCCCCGACCGGGTCTAGAACCCTGTGTGCCAGCACCACAAGGTGGAGGATTAGCCTAGTGAGCCGCGGCGCCGCATTCTTGTAAATAAATCTTATTAAAATCCGTGATCATTTCTTGCTGTAGAATTCTTAGATAAAATAGGATGCAAGTTTTTAAGTCTTTTGCTGTGAATTGCCAAATTATCCTCAGGAAAATGTGTGCTACTTTACTAAGATTCTTTATAGATCACTAAATTTGAAAGAAGGAATTCTTTGCAATTAGATTGTTTGAAGAACATGTCTGTTGGTTTTAAAAAATTCAGTATGCGAATAGTATTAACAAAGGTTTGAATCGGTCCACTGACTCCATCAGCACCAAATATTTCAAATGAATGGTGATGCATGCTTTGTGTTCCACGTTTGGCTAATACCTGTTTTTAGGAAACTAAAGTTATAAAGATGAGGGAAGAGATTCCAAAATGTTTTCCATTAACAATTCTCCCAGATATTAGTATTTGGTTAAACCAGGCACTTAAAGGAGTCCGAGATCGCCATGGGAACTCCATAGAAAATGCTCATCTTCTCACTTTGTTTCATCGCCTCTGCAAACTCTTATTTTTTCGAATTCGTCCTATTTTTGTGTTTGATGGGGATGCTCCACTACTGAAGAAACAGACTTTGGTAAGTACCATCTAATTTTTTTTTTCTTCTGCAGCCTTGGAAAGAAAGAGAAGTTTAAATAAAATTGTATTGTCTCTCTAGCTAAATTTTTCAAACCAGAATTTATTTTGACACATAGCAAATTCAATTTCAACTACTTGTGAAATTCATCTTAAACAAATAAACAAGATAAACACAAATGGTTTTTTCTTTTATAAATGGTTGATTTGTGAGAGTGCATAATGCGTGTGATGATAAAATTTCACTTGTGGCTAAAGCGCTTAGCATTCTTAAAATTCAGTTTTTCCTCCAGAGTATTTAGACGTTCTGCATTGATTCCAGCTAAGCTGCCTTTGATCAGAACATTATGGAAATTCTGTTTGCAGAATGCCCACTGCATATGCAGTCACATACTTGAGGGATTGCAAGGCTTCTTCTAAAGAAGATTGGATTTGGGAGTGAGCAGTGTTCTGTGCTGCCAAGTGGTGACTAAAGTATATTATCCTGGAAGGAAATTGGACTTGATATAAAAGAATGACTATAAACTAATTTAATATGGAAGTAGTTTAAGAAAAGTTTGAAAATGCAAATTTCAGCACTCATTTGTATTTATGGAACTTATGACTTTTATACTAGGATATTTAAGAACGTTCATGAAAAATAGAATTAAAAAGTAAAGGTTTTTGTTTTTGACAGGCAGAGTTAGACAGTGAGAGAGAAAGACAGAGAGAAAGGTCTTCCTTCCATTGGTTCACCCCACAAATGGCCGTTATGGCTGGCGCGCTGCACCGATCCAAAGCCAGGAGCCAGGTGCTTCCTCTTGGTCTCCCATGCGGGTGCAGGGCCCAAGCACTTGAGCCATCCTCCACTGCCTTCCCGGGCCACAGCAGAGAGCTGGCCTGGAAGTGGGGCAACCGGGACAGAATCTGGTGCCCCAACTGGGACTAGAACCCGGGGTGCCAGCACTGCAGGTGGAGGATTAGCCTAGTGAGCCGCGGCAGTGGCCTAAGTGCAGAAAGTTTTGATATTCATGCATATGGACCGCAAAAAGTTCATGGAAAATGTATTATGAAATCAGTATGATGTGTTGATTACAAAAGCAGCAAAGTAAACATCTTTTAATTTTAGGAAGTTTTAGAAGTATCATACATTGAAAATACAAGTTCAACAATTTATAATTGTCCAGATGGCTATTGCCTAATTAAGTGAGCATGTAGGACATTGATTGCTCCAGTGAAAGTGTTTAGGTGTGAATGTTTCAGTTTGCAATGATCCAGAGCCTATGTTATTGAATATTTATTAGAAGGATGAGGAAGGAAAATGGAAGATTGTGGTTACTTTCATCTGCCATGAGCACAGGGGCTATTTCATTTATCCCTCCTTGGATATTTTTTACAAGATGTTTTGACACATAGTAAGTTTCTCATGGCAATCTTGAATGTTGAGAGCCAGAATTACATAAATGTTTGAATGGAAATCAATATTTAAAATTATTTTTTGGTATAACAATGACCTTTTAAAGAAAAATATTGGTCAATTAAGATAATTCTTTCTGGGAAGCATTTGCTTGAATATGTATCATTATGTTTTTGACTTCTTTGGCATATTAAAGGACATTTAAGAGAAATTAAAAGTTTACAAGCGTGTATGAGAGCTATCAAATTAAGAAATAGTTTAGATGGAAACTCTGGGTGTCCTGTATATAGCATAATCCTGAAGGTATTGTTAGAACATTTAGGAAGAAATACTGAAACACAAAACTGAGACAAACTAAACTGCATGGGGGCAAAAAAACTCACAGGAATGTTTTTAATAGAATAATACCCTGAGATAAAATCTTTTATTCTCTGTTTTCATAGGCTAAGAGGAGGCAGAGAAAGGATTTAGCATCTACTGATTCCAGGAAAACTACAGAAAAGCTTCTGAAAACATTTTTGAAAAGACAAGCTCTCAAAACTGCCTTCAAAAGCAAGAGGTAAGAGGAATTACATTAATATTAGAGATTTAAAAATTGTTTATTTTTGTGTGAGAGCCCTGTGGTTCTCTTCCTCTAATGTTAACTCTCACCTGAAAATGAGGAGTGGAGAGAGTAGGTAGGGATGGTATTTGACATGGTGGTCAGAAGCTAACAAAAGTTCTCTGCTCTGTGATGTGGGCTTTGTTAATGAGGTAGAGAAGCTGGAGGGATGCGCGAATTACACTTCGTACTTTCAGAATGTTCTTCTTCAAGACCATGGTTGAGGCTGTGGCCGAGGCTCAGGAGCCCTAGCATGTTTCTTTTTTGCTTGTACACCGTACTTTGACTTTTCCCAGCAGTAGCCCAGGGACAGCCAGGTCAGGAGGGGGAAGTCCATTGCCCATGTGTTTTCTCCTGTTCGCCTCCTGAGCAAGGCTTTTGTAGTCAGTAAGGGAGGATTATTGGCTCACAATGCTACTAGTCAAAGACGCGTGTATTTTTCAGAAATGAAGCACTCCCGAGTCTCACTCAAGTTCAAAGAGAAGATGACATCTACGTTTTACCACCTTTGAAAGAGGAAGAAAAACACAGGTAAATGTTTTAACAGTATTATTTTAGGGATGGGCTTTGTGTCGTGGTGGGTTCCAGATCAGAGTGCCTGGGAGCCCCACCTCTGCTTCTGAGCCAGCTTCCTGCTAATGCTCACCCTAGGAGGCAGCAGATGATAGCTTCAGTCCTTGGGTCCCTGCCACACATGCAGCTGACCCAGGTGGAGTTCCTGGTTCCTGGCTTCAGCCTGGCCTAGGTCTGGCTGTTCTGGGCATTTGGGGACTGAACTAGCAGATGAAAGGTCTTTTCTCTCTTTCTCTCTCTGTTACTCTGCCCCTTTCACATAAATAAAAGTAAATAAAATTGAAAAATATTATTTCATCCATGGGTATATTCAGACAGATTTAAATCCTTTTATGCCTGATGAGGCATGTGGGAATTTACTCATGCATTTGAAATATGCATTCTCTATACCATTTTGAATATTTTTAAAAATTACATTTTTAATTTGCTAACTTATCTTTGTGTTTTGATGAGTTTTGGTTCATTATTCTCTTTCATTCTGAACACTACTAGCACCATGGGTATAAAATTCAAGAAGACTCTCCTTTTAGTTTTTCTTACCTTTTGCTTACTGATTCTCATCCCACTCTTGCCTCGCACCACCATGCTGAATTACCCTGATGACATCTGTCCTTGTTGCTCAGTGCAGTAGATACCTTGCATTTCTGGGTGTCCTCATCTTCACCCCATTAACACCATGTCCTGCTGTCCTGTTCTCTTGGCACAGAGTCTCCGTCCAGTCCTCCTTAGCTCCTCTGTGTTCCCCTTCCTCTGACAGCCTGTCATCTGCAGCAGTTTCTGTGTTTGAAGGAGGTAGAGGAGTGGAAGCCTAGACAGTTTGTCTTCCTTTCCTGTCTTCCTCATTCCTTTTCCATGAGCTCCCAAGAGACAGAGTAGCTTTTGAATAAGTCCAGTTCTCTTTATCTCCCTTGCCACCACCACCACCACCACCACCACCACCACCACCTTTCTCCAGGAACAGCTTCCAGACTTCTTTCTGTCTTTGTCTTTGATCTTACCCCTTTTGCGGTAACTCCTCCTTGCCAAGCTCAGTCTCTGCTTCATATTATAAAATCTGCTTAAAACTCAAGCCTGATAGTTTCCTTCCCTAAAACAGTTCTAAGCTTCTTGTTTCTTTTTGATAAAACTTTCAACAACTTAATCACCCCTGCTGTCCTCACACTGTTCCCAGGCAGGCTTATTTTCCACCTGGGTAGAGAATTTATTTCTTCCTGCTGGAACAGTTTTCTCACATCCTGCAGCTGGAGCCCACACTCATTCATGGCTGACTGCAAGCAGCATGGTTGCTGCAGTTTCCAGAAACCTCTCAAGATCCCGCAGTGTGGGGGTGAGGTGGCTGTTTGTTGCGCCTTTAGCAGCCTGCTCTTCCCTGAGGTGGAAGTTACTATATCATATTATATTGGCTTACTCACGTGTTCCCCTCCAGACAAGGAGACTTATGCTGGCACAGATCTTGCCATCTTATTTACCACTGTAGCCCCTGTAACCAGCACAGCTTGCACTCAAGAAATGATTTTATTAGTCACTGAAAATCAAAGATATTTCATCTTTGTGCTTGATTTTCAGCTCAGAAGAGGAAGATGAAAAAGAATGGCAAGAAAGAATGAGTCAAAAACAAGCATTACAGGTATTTAAATAAGTTATGACTTTAGAATGTGTTGTGTCATTTGATATGAATGACATGAAAATGAATAATATTAATGAGGTAGTATGAATTTATGAAAGTTCATGATAAAAAGTAATGTATATGTTTATGTGTATGTATAAATATATAAACTATCTACCTATATTTGAGTAGATATACATAGAATTTGCTATTATACATGCCCAAATAAACCATTTTTCTTTTGTAGCCCACCAACAAAATAAATAATAATCCATACATTTATAGAAAATATGGAAAACATAATACCTGTAAATAACTTACATAAATGTTGCCATTTTGGATATTCTAGATTATTTTTTGTACAGTTGTTACAGTCGAATACCTGTGTGCTTATGAGTATTTGGCATGTGTATGTGTACCACATATACCTGTGTACATATATATGTGTGTATGTGCACATGTTCTTGGAATTTTTTTTTTAGATTTTATTTATTTACTTGAGAGGTAGAGTTATAGACAGAGAGGGAAGGACATAGAGAAAGGTCTTCCATCCACTGGTTCACTCCTTAAATGGCTGCAGTGGCTGGAGCTGGGCCCATTGAAGCCAGGAGCTTCTTCTGGGTCTTCCACGCTGGTGCAGGGCCCAAGCAACTCCACTGTTTCCCCAGGCCGTAGCAGAGAGCTGGATCGGAAGAGGAGGAGCTGGGACTAGAACTGGCACCCATACGAGATGCTGGCACCGCAGGCCCACAGCTACAGCTCTGGCCCCATTCTAGGAATTTATTGCTGTGTAACTTTGTGGTGTAGAATGGTCACTTATTACACTTATTATCAGATGTGCCGCAGTGCTGGGAGTCGATCAGCTCAAAGGCTGTTCTGTCTGGGAACTCCCATGTAGATGCAGTCAGGCTGAAACTGGGCGTCAGCAGCTTCCTCCCTTGCATGGCAGTTGACACTGGAAGTCAGACTTCTGTGTGCATGTGGCCTCATGTGGCCTGGGGCCTGTTCACAGCAAGGAGCTCCCTTCCAAGGACAGGCTCCAAGAGGAAGTTCCCTGCAGAAACGAGCAGCCTCCTTTCCTCTGTCCTTCCTCCATCCTGGATGTTCTATCAGGATCTAGCTGCCAAGACTATCTTAGAATTAAGGGGGAGAGAATTTGACAGAAAAAATAGCAAGAATTGGATATGTGTTAAAACCATCACCACACATATTTTACTGAGTAGCATTTTTACAAGTTCAGGTTGTACCAAATATACAAGTAAAACAAGCATTTTTTAAGTTTCTTAGTGTAGCAGATAGCATTATTTGATTCCCAGATTCTCTGTTTCTTTTTTGTTTAGACTGCTTTGGTATGTCTGGTGGAAGGCTTTCACTTGTAGAAGCTCTGGATGGTTAATGCAGTGAATGGTAGCTGTCTTGGTTAAGACCCTAGACCTTGTGCTCAGAAAGACCTGCATTTCAGTTTAGGCTTCACTATTTACGAGCAGTGTGATCTTAGATTCATTAATTTTGCTAGGCTTTATTTCCTTTCTTTTTTGGTAAGAGGAGAAGATCTGGATGCCTTCCTCAAGGAGGTGTTGGGAGCACTGGTGAGCAGAGTACAGGACACCATGCAGATGATGGGGCTGTCTTGAGTGCTCAGTAGATGTACGTGTGCACATCACCACATAGCAGACAAATAGGACAGCAGTTGTGTCATTTTATCATTTTTATTAATGAAATTTTGAACAAAGGTTGTCTGTTTCATTAGTCTGCTTGAATGGCAGTGATAAAGGGAGAGACAGATCTCCCATCTTCTGGTTCAGTTCCCAAACACCCACATCAGTGGGGGCTGTGCCAGGCTGAAGCCAGGAGCCCAGTACTCCACTGGGATCTCCCATGTGGCAGGAGCCCAAGCACTTGAGCTGTCATATGCTGCCTCCCAGGATGCATTAGTGGAAAGCTGGATCGGAAGCAGAGGAGCTGGCACTCAGACCTGCACACCAGTGTGGAACATTAGTGTCCCAAGTGGCGGTTTGACCCACTCTACCACAGTGTCCACCCTGATGAGGAGTTTTAAAGTACTTTTTATTTAAATTTTAGTTAACATTTAGGAAAATTTTATACTTTTCCAAGTCTGTGAATTTCTCATTTTTAATTTCATTTTTGATTTTAGGTCAAGAGCAAAATAATTGAGGGAATTACAAATACTGCTCAAATGTATCAGGCTCATTTATACCCTAGGGCCTTTGCACTTGCTCTTACTTCAGCCTGGAGTCCCTGATTCAGTACTTAGCTGTGTTTTGAGTTCCTGCTCACAGATCCTAAAAAATGGAGTCTTCTCTATCAGACAAATCTGTTTTTCTTCCTCTTCTCTTATTCACTGTCTTATCAGGTTAATCTGTTTTCTTACTGTTAGCTGGTTTGTTGTATGCCTTCCTGCACTCTTCAGAGTAGGGATCTCTTATCTGGCATGATCTCCATGGTACCCTAAAACCTAGAACAGTCCTTGTTGCCTTAGAGAGTATTTCTGCATTTGAATGAAAAGATACATTCTCTAATCTACCTGTTCACTTCAATGCCTATTGCAAATTATGTGCTACTGTGTTCAGGCTGTTGTAGATGATGTGAAACTGTGTTTATGACGTCAGCACAGTAAATATCTGTAGTGACGAATTGTATTACCTGTGTGAAATGTAAATTTCCTATTATTACATCTTATTCTTCACAGGAAGAATTCTTTCATAACCCTCATGCGATAGATATTGAATCTGAGGACTTCAGCAGTCTGCCACCTGAAGTAAAGCATGAGATCTTGACTGATATGAAAGAATTTACCAAACGAAGAAGAACATTATTTGAAGCAATGCCAGAGGTGAATTGTTGAACAGTGGGGTAATACTTAGAGTTTAGAGCTAGAGTAAAATTTCTCCTTAGAAAGAGGAAAATCATAAGAAGCAGTACTTACACAGTGTTTGTTCAGTAAATAACAAGTGTATACAAAGAGCCTCTGAACTTCATGTATTTATAAGCTTGACTTTATAAGCTGTTATTTGAAGATTTCCTGACCTCCTGCCCAAGACTAGGTCTTTTCTCCTACTGTGTTTTCATAGAGTCCTGGAATGTGCCTGTCATGTACCCCTATACAGCACCTAGCTCAGCAGGACATAGAAAGTGTCCAGTTTTTACTTAGTGACTCAATTCTTAGATTAGTTCATGAAAGTTATTTTAAACCATGTACATATGTATATGTGTATGTATGTGTATAGATAGAGAGATATAGTCTGTGAAAACTAATAGTAATATAGAGTCTAATTACTATGCAGAAATATGCTCTGGCTTGAAATTCCAGGTGAGTTATCCTCTACCACAGCATAGCGTTGTTCAATCTCTATTCCCTGCTTCCTCCTGGACACTTGTTAGCCACAGAACACTGGGTGGGAATGGTGTGTTGGGTTGTGTTGGGTGTTGCTGAGCATGTCTTCTGATCATGCTACATTAATTAATTAATTAATGCTGCTATTTTTTTTTTTTTTTTTTTTTTTTTTACACAGGCAGAGTGGACAGAGAGAGAGAGACAGAGAGAAAGGTCTTCCTTTGCCGTTGGTTCACCCTCCAATGGCCGGCGCACCGCGCTGATCCGATGGCAGGAGCCAGGAGCCAGGTGCTTTTCCTGGTCTCCCATGGGGTGCAGGGCCCAAGCACCTGGGCCATCCTCCACTGCACTCCCTGGCCACAGCAGAGAGCTGGCCTGGAAGAGGGGCAACCGGGACAGAATCCGGCGCCCCGACCGGGACTAGAACCCGGTGTGCCGGCGCCGCTAGGCGGAGGATTAGCCTAGTGAGCCACGGCACCAGCCAATGCTGCTATTAATTACTGGCTCTCTTGTTGCTACTGAATGAGTTCTGTTTCCTTTTCTATTGCCATCTATTTTTTAAATTAACATGTATTTTGAAAAAGTTACAGAGAGAGAGGTAGATACAGAGAGATCTTCCATCCATTGGTTCACTCCCCAGATGGCTACAATAGCCAGTGCTGGAGTAGGCTGAAGCCAGGAGCCAGGAGCTTCCTCCAGGTCTCCCACATGGGTGGCAGGGGCCTAGACACTTGGGCCATCTTCCACTGCTTTTCTCAGCCAATAACAGGGAGCTGGATCAGAAGTGGAGCAGCCGGGACTTGAACTGTCACCCATATGGGATGCTGGGTTTACATTTGACAGCTTTACCCACTGGGCCACAACACCGGCCCCTACTGCTGTTATTTCTAACATAGTTCTCCTTTAGCCCACTGTAGGATAGAATATGAATTTTACAGCATTTTTTCCATAGTGAATTAATGTAGTATTTATTTTTTTTACTCTCTATAGGCTTTTAAACACTTAAATTGATATCAGAAATATGAAAAAGAATAAGCTTCTTTTCCCACTATTCCCTTCTGTTTTTCCACATAGAATGTGAAAATAGGAAAACATTAAGGCTCACAGAAATGATATTCTCAGGTCTTTGGATATACAGAAATGAATTTACTTTCATCTCAGGGGAAATATCCAGGCTCTGCCTGTCTATCAGATATTTTATTTCTTGAGTTTGAAAGGATCTCTGTGTAGTACTTGAGAAAATAGGATTTGGGTTATGCAAACAATAGTGAGAAGGAGTGGGAGAGAGACAGTCCTTAATAATTTGCTCTTCTTTATTTTCTTTCCACAACCTCAGAATCTCTGGGATTGGTAGACTGTAGGATAGCTTGGAGTAGCAGCTCTTTGGATCTGTAGTTTTGATAGAGACTAGAAGTTTTAAGTCATCCAGGTGGGACCACTATATCATCTGTACATTCTACAAATGTAGTATTGATAACAGTAGTAATGATAAGTGATAATAGTAATAGTAATGATTGTAATAGTAATAGAACCAAGTATAATCAGTCAGACTGCTTTTGATCCCAGACCTACCACTTATCAGCCATGTGACTCTTGGGAAATATTGTAATGTTTGTATTAAATATGAAACAATTTTCTTTGTTCTGCCTTTAGGAGTCCAATGATTTTTCACAATACCAACTCAAAGGCTTGCTTAAAAAAAACTACCTAAACCAGCACATAGAAAATGTCCAAAAGGAAATGAACCAGCAACACTCAGGGCAAATCCAAAAGCAATATGAAGAGGAAGGGGGCTTTTTGAGGGAGGTAGAGTCCAGGAGAGTGGTCTCTGAAGACACCTCACATTACATCTTGATAAAAGGTATTGGGTACCATCATTTATTTAAGGACTAAAAACCAAAAGCATGGATTTGTTCTGAATTCTATGAACTACCACCCTTGGATAATATAAGTGAAATCCTACTTAGATACTGACGGTTGTGTAAAATAGTAATTAGCGGGTTAACAACTATGGTGTCAACTCTTTAAAATTAACCAATGAATTAATTCTTAGTTTCTGATTAAATACAATTTATACTTTAATTATGAGGACAAGTAGTGTCCTCATCTGACTGATAGTGCATTGTCACACTTTGAAACTTCATAGTGAGAAATGTTTTAATTTTTCTTAAGGCATTCAAGCTAAGAAAGTTGCAGAAGTGGATTCAGAGTCTCTGCCTTCTTCCAGCAAAGTGCACAGTGTGTCTCTTGACATGAAGTCGTCTCCATGTGAAAAGCTGAAGCCGGAGAAGGAGCCTGATGCCACCCCTCCCTCTCCAAGGACTCTGCTGGCTCTGCAGGCTGCCATGCTGGGAAGTAGCTCAGATGAGGAGCTGGAGAGTGGAAGTCTCAGCCAGCACCGGGAGAGGAAGGTGTCTGCCGCTGGCGACGATGGCTCCATATCTCCACGCACTCTGTCAGCTATTCAGAGAGCCCTTGATGAGGATGAAGACGTGAAAATGTGTGCTGGGGACAGTGTGCAGGGAGCAGGACCAGGAGTGACAAAACTGCCTGTAAAGAGTTCCAAAGAGGAAAAGGACGAAGGTCTTGAAGTGAGAGATAAAAAAGGAGTGCTGTCTACCGCTGTCCAGCCTTCAGCCAGTGTGACCTTTGTAGAGGAGTGCGTAGCCAGCACTGAAAGTGAGCGAGAGCTGCCAGGCTCAGCTCATTTGTCAACTGCTGTCTGTTCTGAAGGCAGCGAGTCTGATGCTCCAAAAGAACAAAAATCATTCGTTCCTGTGGTGAACGAAGCTTTTCAGACAAGTGATGGGTCTGCAGTTAAGGATAGAAGAGATCCACTTCCTTCAGAGAACACAGTGGTTCTGCCCAGTGATGCGCCTGGGCTCCCGACCCTGGTGGCTCCAGCAAGCACAGGATCTGTATCCAGGAATGGGACACCTGCCAAAGAACTGGAGCTGCAGAAAGATCTCTCCCCATCTGAGAGGAAATTTGATTCCTCTATTCTTTCTAGTGATGAAGAAACAAAATGTGAACAAAATCCTGTGTCTGAAGTCATTGGCGCTGTCAGTTCACCAGAAGTGAGTGACCTAATAAGTGTGCCTTCAGAGGTGATAGGTCACTCAAAAGATGCAGAATCACTTAATGCAGAAGAGAATGACAATTTCCTAAAAATCCTCCAACAACAGGAGACAGTTGGATCTCCAGGCCCGGGTTCCATTTCGTTCCCCAAGTCCGTGGAACCAGGGGCTATCGACTCTGACGAGAGTGAATCTGATGGTAGGTGCTGTGCTCTTTCAGAGATATGGAGTGGTGGTAGGACTTCACATCTGTAGGAGCTGAGAGACCTTTTGGAGTAGTCGTCTTCCCACTTTTTACAGATGAGAACTAGAGACTCGGAAAGAAAGGTGAAATGAGTTTTCCAGGGAAACACAGCTGGAACTGGAACCTTGACCCTTCCTGCTTGGCTATGTTTTTGGTTGTTATTATTGTTTTATTTTTGTAAATTTATTTTTTATTTATTGAAAGGCAGATAGAAACCTTCATGCCTCAGATGCCCATAATATCTAAGGCTGAGCCAGACCGAAGCCAGGAGTCAGGAACTCAATCCCACTCTCCCACATGGATGGCAGGGGCCCAAATACTTGAACCAGCCGGTGCCTCCCAGGTTGTGCAATAGCAGGGAGCTGGAGTCAGAAGAGGGCCTTGGGACGTGAACCCAGGCACTTTGATGTGGGGTGCAGGCTTCTCAAGTAGCATCTTAAATGCTGCACCGAACTCTTGCATCTGTTGTTTTTAAAGGGAGGCAATGCCCAAGATTCCTACTAGATTTTTCTTCAAGTTTTTATTTGGAATAATCATAAACTTGACAAAGTTGAAAGGATGTTACAAAACATTCTGATTCTTTCATCCAGTATCGTGGGGGGCTGGCATTTTTACCATACTTGCTTTAATCTCTCTTTTCTCTTCTTGTCACTGTCACTCTTTGTATGTGTATTAAATATTGATAAATTTATAAATTTCTGTATTTAAACAAATGTGTACACCATTAATCTTTTTTATTTTTAGATTCCATATTTGGACAGTTGCCTACTCATTAAATTGTTTCTGCAACCCCAGAATCAGTACTCACTCTGTTGTCTTTGTGGTCATTTGTGGACGTTTGCAGAATGGGAACTAATTTGAGTTGCCATCCCCTGCTGAGCTTGAGCGAGGCAATATTCTGCCTTGCTCAGTGCTGCCATGGAAATGCACAGGGGATGGAGGCAGGGGCAGTGCAGTGTAGACCTCAGCCACTTGGACCGAGTTTGAATCTAAACTCTGGCACCTGTTTAATGGGGTCACCTCAGTAAATTCACTTAACACTTCTGAACCATGTTCAGAAAAATAAAGAAAATACAATCTGCTGAGATGGATTATTTTAGGATTCATATGATTATATATTAATATATAACAATATATTATATAAATATATAATAAATATATATAAGTATATTCTAGGAGCAATGACTCAGTATTGAGTAATTTAGAGTTTACAGTGACTTTATAGACCATTAACTTCTGTAAATAACAGAAATCAGCTATACACAAACACAGTTTATTCCCTGGTATCTGCCAGGTTTCTCCACTTTAAAAACTTAATATTTCTCTTTAGTAATTAATCAATATATTTTTAAAATATTTGCTTATTTGAATTGAAAGGCAGAGTTACAGAGAGAGAAGGATCTTCATCCACTGGTTCACTCCCCAGATGGCTATAACCATCAGGCTGGGCCAGGTGGAAGCCAGCAGCCAGGAAGTCCATCAGGGGCTCCCACGTGCCTGCAGGGGCCCAAGCACATGGGTCATCTTCTGCTTTCCCAGGCACATTACGTGGAGCTGGATTGGAAGTGGAGCAGCCAGGACTCAAACCGGCATCCATATGAAATGCTGGCATCATGGAAAGAGGCTTAACTGGCTAAGTTACAACTCTGGCCCCTGAATCAGAAGATTGAGGGCAGGAATATTTGGGGCTAGGTAAATTTATTTTCCTGAACATACATACATATTTTAGTATCCATTGATGGTTTTCATCTGAATAAATTGTTACTATGATGGTGCCAAATGATGGTTTTCTAACTCCATTATTCCTTATGAATTTATTAGTTGGCATCCAACTCTAAGGAAGATCTCTCTTCTCCTCCACTTACACTTTTAACCACTGTGGACTCCTGAATGCCTGTTTTGTTTAGTGAGTTGTAATCCAAAGCTATCATGATTGACTTTGCCCTTGATTTGTCTCAGCTTTGGCCCCTGGAGAGCCCTTCAAGCTGACTCCTGTCTGAACAATTCACCTATGATACTTGGAACATTTCCTTACTGTAAGGCCCAGATATTCCAGACTTCATCTTGTACTCCCTCAGCCCTGGTCATGGAACCAGCCTTTTTTCTCCAAGAAGTGCTTGTTCCTTTCAGTGGAGCCTGCTTAGAAACCACAGGCTGGGTGCTGGGTGTGCGCACTGTCCCTGGGTGTGTGGGGGTGTCATTGTTTCAGGCCTTCTCCATGATAGTAGGAATGTTTCTGTACACACATGAGCATGCACACATGTACACTGTGCATGTGTGTACAGATCTGTTTCATTTTTTTAAAAATTGATTCATTTGAAAAGCAGAGTTACAGAGAGAGGTAGAGACAGATTTTCCATCTGCAAGTCCACTCCCCAAATGGTTGCAACAGCCGGGACTGGGCCAGGCTGATGCTAGGGCTCCCACATGGGTGCAGGGGCCCAAGGACCTGGGCCATTCTTCATTGCCTTCCCAGGCACATCAGCAGGAAGCTGGATTGGATGTATAGCAGCCGGGACTGGGACTGGAACCTATATAGGATGCTGGCATTGCAGCAGCAGCTTTATCTGCTATGCCACAATGCCGGCCCCACAAATTATATTTCTGTGTAGTTATCTTCTATTAAAATTCACAAGGTCACATAGACATTTTTTTAAAGATTTATTTGAAAGTTACAGAGCGACACAAAGACAGAGGGGGATCTTCAGCCTGGCCCAGGAGTTTCATCTGAGTCTCCATGTGGGTGCACACATGCTTTGGCCATCTTCTGCTGCTTTTCTGAGGCTATTAGCAGGGAGCTGGATTGGAAGCAGAGCGGCTGGTACTCTAACCTGTGCCCATATGGGATGCTGGCTTTGCAGGTGTCAGCTTTACCTACTACACACTGATACCTTTCATTTCAATCCACCACCACAGGATTCATGCATGCCCTCTGCTTAACTCCCCTGACAGTAAGAAACTTGGCTCCTGTTGTCTTCAGCATATTTACTTACCTTATCCACGTAGCTGCCTCTCACCACGCTGGCCTCCTCCTTGTCCCAGCTGGTGGCTCCAGTGCAGGGCCCCAGAACCCTGAGAGTTCCAGCCACCACCTCTGTCCTGCTTGTCTTGCCCAACCCAGCTGGACAGGCCACGCCAGCCTCCCTCACCCGAAAGAAAGGAAGGAAGGGAGCCAGTAAGTATTTGTAAGGAACAGATGACAGGAGAGGGGCAAGGAAAGCAGATGAGGAAGAACTGTCTCTCCTGGGAGCTTATCTGGGACTCTTGCTGCTGTCAGGGCGTTGGCTGTGTGCATAGTGAAAGAGCCTAAAAACACACCGCCTCCCTAATTGTGTGTCTACTTTAGTAATTCTCCTTTTTGAAGTTTTAGAAACAGTACTAATTGACATAGAACATATTTTTATAAAGCTAACACATAAATCTTGGGTTTGGTTCCCAGAATTTAAAAAAAAAGATGTATTCATTTATTTTGAAAGAGTTACAGAGGGAAAGGGAGAGACAGCAAGCTGTAGAGACACTCCCTACAGGGCCTGAGGGCCACAGAGGCCAGTGCTGGGCCAGGCCAAAGCCAGGAGCTAGGAGCTTCATCCAGATCTCCCCGCTGTGTGGCAGGGGCCCCAACACTTGGGCCATTTCCGTTGCTTTTCCCAGGCTGTTAGCAGGGAGCTGGATCAGAAGTGAAGCTGCTGGGACATGGACTGGCATATGCAATGCTGGCATTGCTGGTGGCGGCTTTACCTGCTATGCCATGCCACCAGCCCCTTTGTTCCTGCTTTCAAAGATGGTATCAGTGTAATTGATTTACAGACATTTGTGTTTAAATTCGTTTCATAGTAATGTTAGCATTATATGCTTTTAATTTATCCAATTATTTCTCTTTTTGGGACTTCATAAAGTTCTTGGTGGTTTCAGGGTGATTTCAGTTGTGGTTGAAATGACTTCATTATTTTGCTACAGGAAGTTTCATTGAAGTGCAGGGTGGGATCAGTGAGGACGAAGTTCAAACTGAATCGAATGAAGCTTCCAGGCCTCCCTCTGAACAAGGGGACATGGTGCCAATGGGAGCTAAGGATGAAGAAGCCACTGGGGATACCGAGAGCCTCCCAAGGGACCACTCTGAAAGCAAGGACTTGGATATTGAGCCCCATGAAGAACATGAAAAGGATACAGAAGATTCCTTCAATGAATGGCAAGATATTGATTTGGTAATAATGTTACATTGTGTTTTATTGCTAGGGAAGCCAAGCTAAGTAGCTTTTGAATTAATAAGGAGGTGCTAGATTAATAGTGTTAGCCATTTGCAGTACATCTTCCTGTTCCTGATTGCCCTTTTTTATGTGGGTTACTGTCTTGGGTGCAGCCCGTTTTTCCTGTGATTTAGTGAGGGAGCTCAAGAAGATGCAAGTATTACAGAATCTTGCTCAGGAGTCCGAGTGGTATGCTTTATTACAAGAAAAGGTTTGTTGGTAATTTCGGTCAGACTAAGTGCAGACTTCTGCAGCCAACTTAAATTGGATTATTAATATAATTACCTACAAGGGAAAAATTACTTCCTAGGAAGAGCTGGAAACTCTGGAGAACGACCTCTTAGCGCAGCAGAATTCACTGAAGGCTCAGAAGCAGCAGCAAGAACGGGTCGCTGCCACTGTCACAGGACAGATGTTTCTGGAAAGCCAGGTGAGGGGCTCACCCCAGGCTTTCAACAGCCCCTTGCTCAGACTCCCCAGGGAGCGCCCAGCACGCGGCGCCCCCTTGTGGTGAGCGCCGGGCAGTGCCGCTCTCGGGGCCACCCGCCGTGCGTCTGCATTTCAGGAACTCCTGCGCCTGTTCGGCATTCCCTACGTGGAGGCGCCCATGGAGGCCGAGGCGCAGTGCGCCATCCTGGACCTCACGGACCAGACTTCCGGAACCATCACCGACGACAGTGATATCTGGCTGTTCGGAGCGCGGCACGTCTACAAAAACTTTTTTAATAAAAACAAGTTTGTAGAATATTACCAGTATGTGGACTTCCACAACCAATTAGGTAAGACGCCAGAAATATAATTTGTGGGGCCTGGACTTGCTGGGATTCCCCTTCCGAATTCCTTCCCAGGAGGTACTTTGGGACAAGAATGGAAACGATAGAGGTGTGATTAACACAGGTTTCCATAGAAGTGACCTTTGGTTTATAGAGAGGAATAGAATTGTTAAAAATGAGAACTAAGACATTAAAATCCACGTAGAGTTAGGCTTTTCTCTGGTGTTTGCTAACAATCCGATGCGGTTGGACTTCGAGTAGTTACCTGAGCTCTCCAGAGTGAACCCCGGGTGCTGGAGTGGGGGAAGCAGGTGGGAGGCCTCCTGCTCATGGGGTTGTGTGGGTGTTGCAGGCGCTGACGTCTTACCGGTATGCCACTCGGAAAATCACCTGGTTTCAAATAGAGAGATCTTTAGCTGTTGTAAGAGGATTTATGAAACATTCGTGGAAAATGTGCATTATGATGGATTTCAAAACATTTTTCCACCAAAATAAACTTACCTTTTTAATTTCATGTTTGCCGTGATCTTTTTGAGGTACCCCCGTAACGTGTACATGTAGGTTCACATAGAATGCTTCTAAATGTTATGCAATACGTTTTTGTTAAACAATTTTTAAGGATAATTGTTACTTTTACAGGATTGGACCGGAACAAATTAATAAATTTGGCCTATTTGCTTGGGAGTGATTACACGGAAGGGATACCAACTGTGGGTTGTGTAACAGCCATGGAAATTCTCAATGAATTCCCTGGGCATGGCCTGGAACCTCTTGTCAAATTTTCGTAAGTTCTCTATTTCTTTCATTTCGATATTTATATACATACCCAAATTATTAAATAAAATGGTGACTTACATCATAAACTATCACAAACCGAGTTTCACTGAGAAAAAGCAGGAGGTTTCAGTAGGGGTTACTAAAATTTTTGTTGTTGTTAAAAAGGTCTTTTCAAGAGTTCCAAGGAAATAAGAATGAATCGCTTGTTTTAGTGATGCCCATCAGCGGTTCGACAGAGTCAGCCCTGTGAGTTCTGCAGGAGTACGGAAGCTGTCATGTCATTGTTCAGACATTTATCGAGGGGCTGCTATGTGCCAGGCTCTGTGCTAGCCCTGTGGATACGAAAGATGAGGAAGTCATGGGCAGCGCCCTTAAGGGGGCCCCTTGCTGTTGTGAGTGACGGGGCAGCAAACGTAATGGAAGATCTGTGTGTGCAGTGTTGCGAGGGAGGTCAGCCAGAAAGGGACGTGGGGGTACAATGCCAGGACCTTCACAGCCAGGCTGGCTGTTCTCACCTGGCGAGCTCTGGGATGTGTTCAGTGGAGGAGTCTTGTTCCATCCCGAATCCCGAGGCCTGCAGTACTTGGGGTACGTTGCTTGGATTTTGGAGAATCTGAGTTGATAGAAGTTGGGAGTATGTCTATGAAAGTAGTTCCTTCTCAAGGGTTGCCCTCAATGGCAGTTTGGAAGAAACATTGAAATTTAATTCAATGCCTTAAAATTCATAGTTTTACAGTGTGCAGTTCAGTGGGTTTTGGTATAGTCACAGGTTGTGATGGCATCTTTCAGCTCTCACATGCAGCTTTTTGATGGGAGTTGATTTAATGATCCTTTAGACTTCTCTCCAGTTACATCTCCTGTGTCTGAAAAATAGGAATGTTCTTGGCTGAGGTATCAGTGGTCAGAAACACTGAAATAAAGTACAGACTTGTTAGGAGTACAATTAACATTCTGCTGTATGTAATGTTAGACTTCTCTGTGCATAGGTACACTCATATACGTGTGAGTGTGTGTGTTACACTTTCTTACAAGATTGAGTGATGCTGTATACTTTTTATGTTACCTGCAACTTGTTTGGTGATAGGACAAGGCATATTATCAAAAATGTATAGATTTATGATATTCTTTTAATGACTCCAAGTAGTCTTTTGTGGGTCTTTCGTGATTAATTTGACCGAGTGCCTATTTTTTCTTTTTTTAAAAAGAGTATAACAGATTTGAGTATCCTTACATGTCTATCTTTGTGTTCTTGCCTAAATATTATTTCAGGGTGAGTGGCAGTGGCCTCTGACTTTTCAGTTGGTTGCCTAATTACTAGTGAAAATGAATTTTTCACATTGATTGACAATTTGCCCTTCTTGTTTAGTGAATGGCCTGATTACACCTTCTTTGTTAAAGAGTTTAGCTCAGTTCTTGCTGTTTACATTTTTTAGGCAGCTTTGGTGGTTTCTGCCTTTGGTTTAGGACCACAGCAGTAAAATGCAGGAAGAGTGATGGGAAGCCAGTGACCTTGGGAGTGCTGGATCACCCTCTTTTCTGCACCCATCTTCTCTGGCTCATCGCTCCGTTAGAGTGGAGCTACTTGGGTCCTGGCCCACACAGTGTGCTCTTCTCTAGAGCTTTACTTTGGAATTGGCTACCAGCATTTAAATCTGGAGAGATTTCAAGTAAAACTTTGGATTCTCTTGAGGAAAGAGAATATCTTACAAAACTGGCTCCAAATTTCCAAGTAACCCTAAAATGACTGGTACAGAGTAGCAGTGATTCCCTGCCGCCTCCCTTCTGCCTGGACCTGAGCCTGAATCCTTCACGTTCATCACAGATGCAACCTCTCCCATACAGCTGAGATGGTGGACCAGTGCTGTCCTTTCATGTGGTTGTTAAATGCCTGAGTCTCTTGCTGTAAGCCTTCGGCCTTGGCTAGCTCATGGTGAGCCGTGCTGATTCTCCCAGCTGGCAATCATGATTACTATTTCAAAGACAAAGATTCAAAAGTAAAGTGGGAGAGAATTGTAGGTATCCCTCGGGGTACTCTTGGAAGAAAAAGTTAAAGATTATTGTTGTATTTTAATACAAGGAAGGCTGCAATTAGTCTTTAGGAACACTAGATGGCACTCCTGCACTGGTGTGGTGAAACAGCAGGTGGGTGCTGCCGGAGAACAGGAGGTGCAGGTGTTTCTTGTTCCTTAAGGTTCTATCGAGTGTGTGGATTGATGAGGATAATGTTTATATTTTTAATTTTTATGCCATTTATTTTTTCCTAGTTGAATAAGTTTTTCTGATTACCTGTTGCTGCATTACAACTACCCTAAACCTCAGTGGCTTCAAATAGCAACAGTCATTGATTTTGCCCATAAATCTGAAGTTTAGGTCGGGCTGCTGGGCGGGTCTCATTTCTGTTCCACTCATCTGAGCCGGACGATTCCTGTAAGAGAGCTTAGCACACGGGTGGCGCGTGGTGGTGTCAGCTGGGAGCTCAGCTGGACTGTGGGCCACGGGCTTTGGGTCCTCTGCACGGGTTTGGGCCTCCTCGGGGTCAGCTGGAAGAGACAGGACGTGGAAGGGACCATCTTGTGGGCGTGGCGCAGTACCACCTCCTTCCTGTCAGTCCCACTGCCCACCTGACTCCAGGGGAGGAGTGTCCAAGCGTGTGGGGCTGTCGTTAACCTGCCGTCATAACTTAATCTCAGAGTGGAAAATACTGGAAAAAGCATATAAAGAAGAAAACAACAGCTATCTTTATTCTCCTTCAGAATATTGCCTAGTACAAAGGAAAATAATAGTATTTACGCTTTTAAGTATTCTCTTTTCCTTTTGCCTTCTCCACCCTCTCCCGACCCCCAAATTGGAGGTCATGCTTTATGTGGAGTCAGGTTCTGCATTTTTAAAATGTAGCATGCTCAGGACGTTTTTACGTTTTATTAAGCAGTCTTGGGTCCAGTCTTGGATTTGGGGTGAATCCAGTCTTGGATTTGGGGTGAATAATAGAGAATTCGGTTTCGCTGCTGAGAAGTGAGCAGAGAAGTCGTGAGCCTTGTGGTATCATAATTATGAGCGTGGGCTCCGCAGGCAGATCGTCAGGGTCTGGTGTCCCGTTCCAGCTGTGAAATCTTCAGCACAGGTTCTTCATGTGTGAGGTGAGGGGAGTGACGGGACCCCCCTGCTGTGGGGCGTGTAAAATATTTTGTCAGTCTCCCAATAGGATTGCAGTGTTTTTACCTTTCCTGTACATCTAGGTACTTTATAATTAATGCAGTAAAATTAAAATTCTCTACATCATATGATTTATTTCAGAGTTAGGACTTGACTTTACAGTTCCCAGCTTTGACTCTTTATCTACAGTGCACGGACTACTTACTGCTTTGGAAATAATCGTTTCCTTTGCCTTATAGAGAGTGGTGGCAGGAGGCTCAAAAAAATCAGAAGATAAGGCCTAACCCCCATGACACCAAAGTGAAAAAAAAGTTACGGAAGTTGCAACTCGCCCCTGGTTTTCCGAACCCTGCTGTGGCGGAAGCTTACCTGAAACCTGTGGTGGATGACTCCAAGGGAGCCTTCCTGTGGGGGAAGCCTGATCCGGACAAGATTCGGGAATATCCTTTTAGTTCTTCTTCTTCTTCTTCTTTTTTTTTTTTTTTAAGATTTATTTATTTATTTGAAAGTCAGAGTTACAGAGAGAGAGAAAGAGAGGTCTTCCGTCCGCTGGTTTACTCCCCAATTGGCCGCAACAGCCAGAGCTGTGCTGATCCGAAGCCAGGAGCCAGGAGCTTCTTCCAGATCTCCCATGCAGGTGGAGAGGCCCAAAGACTTGGGCCATCTTCCACTGCTTCCCCAGGCCGTAGCAGAGAGCTGGATTGGAAGTGGAGCAGCTGGGACTAGAACCGGTGCCCATATGGGATGCTGGCACTGCAGGCGGCAGCCTTACCTGCTACGCCACAGCGCTGACCCCATCCTTTTACTTCTAAAAACAAGAAACATTGAGCCAAATATGAGTTAGGTGTAGAATTTACACAACAGGAACTTGGATCATTTTTTTAAATCCCATTTATCCAAGACTCTTTAGTGTTCTTTCCCCTCTTCTTAGTCTAAAAAGAGGATCTTTGAAAGAAACTGTGGTTGCACTCATATAGAACCACGTAGTATTCCGAAAGAATTGGAGAAGATGATTAATTTTGACCCTCTCTTTTTTTTACTGGTTTTCCTTTCTGTGCATTTATATAATGGTTTGGATAGAAATTTATAAACATGCATTAGAATTAGTCTAATTTTTTTCTCTTAAAGAATTATATAGGATATCTGAAGTTTGTTTTTGTTGTAGGTTAACATTTTTCCAGATCTTTGATGTCCTAAAATGAGAACTGAGTTTGTTTTAGAGAACTGAAAAGAACATAGTGCTAGATAGTTGTGCTGGAAGGTGTGTTCTGATCTTTATAAATTTGAAGATTTTTGCAGATGGGGGGAATGAAAGCAAAGGTGGGTTCCTGGGACCTTCCTATTCATCATCACTTGCTTAAATCTTTTTAGAAGTGTTTCAAACTTTGTCAGTCTTAACTGCCTGCAGATTCTGCCAGCGGTACTTCGGTTGGAACAGGAGTAAGACGGATGAATCTCTGCTTCCGGTTTTAAAGCAACTGAATGTCCAGCAGGTAATCGCAGAGGGCTGGTCCCTCACGCCGGATGAAGAGTCAACTTCAGAAGGCTGTGGCTGGCAGCTGCCAAAGCCCGACGAGATCCTTAGAAATTAGGGCACGTTAGGTAACAGAACACAGGAAAATAGAAAAAGAGAAAAATTGGACTTTGTTTTCATTTTCTAACATCACTTTTAGGGCTGCACTTGGGTGTACCTTTTCATTGTGACTTAGAAAAAATAAGATCTAATAATTGATTCCATACTAGGGTGTTTCTGATTAAATATATTACTCCTTCAGAGTTATTTCCTCAAAGCTTAGGAAGTGTCCACGTCAAAACAGTTCTGAGCATTGAAGTCTCTCCAGGTGCTTTCGCACTTTTAAATTTTGTATTGAATCTTTAAAGGTAGAAGTTTAGTCATTGTTGGGTATCAGTAGGAGAAATTTTTCAGGAGAAAAAAGGCCTCTCTTATGGCCCTCAGTTGCCCTGTATTAAGTAATTATGCCTTGCTCTGTCTGCTGATGTTCCTACTTAAAAACAACAAGCGTTTTCCCACCTCAGAAGCAATTCACAAAACACTGATATATAGAAACTATCTAGCAGAAATGAGACCGTATCTTTTAGATCAAACACTTTTGAACCACAACAAAATTTTTTTGAAAATCTGTTTGAGAGGCAGAGAGGGAAGGAGCGCTCATCGTTGGCTCACTTCCGATGACTGGGGAGGGGCTGAAGCCAGGAGTGGGATCTCCATCTTCGTCTTCCACAGGGAGGCAGTCTCTGGGCCACCATCTCTGCCTCCAGGAGCGACATGAGCTGGAAGCCACAGTCAGGAACTGGAGCAGGGTCAAACCCGGGTGCTCCACTGTGGGCTGTGTGTTTCAGCGAGAGTCTTAACTGCTAGGTTAAATGCCCACCCGAGAGCGTCTCTTGTAGGATGATTAAGTTAGTTTTGTTTAGGTTTGGTTAATTTCTCCTTGTCTGATGACCTTATCTATTGGAAACCTTATAAGCCTGCTGAGAAAGAAAACTATGTGGCATAGTAACTGGTTAATCTGTAATTTCAGATAAGTTTTATTATACACTTTTCTTCCTTTTCATGATAGAACTCATTCTCAGTTTATTTCTCCAAAACTGGAAAGTGAAGAAAATAAATTAAAACTACTCATTGTCTCCTCTAACACAGACATTAATGTTAGGTTTATTTTATTTTTCTCACATGTTCTTGTTACCATGTACATATAGCGCCTGATAAATCTAAAATCCCCTCTGGTTAGTAGCATAAGGTTTTTTTTATTGCATACTTTTTATAATTTCAGATGATCAGATTCTTTGATTTTATGTAATTTCATCAAAGAGTTTTAAATTACTTAGTTCACTGCACTTGCTTGATCTTTGATTTTCAGGTTTTTATAAATAATGCTGTGAAGAGTATTAGGCATATAACTCTTCTCATATATAACTAATTCTTACGAGTATCTTTCTCAACGTGTACTTGGTGAACAAAAGGCATGAGTAGGTCTTACTGTTCCTAATATGTACTCTGAACCTCCCTCCTGAAAATAATGGTTTTGAAAGAAGACCACAGTATGACTTAGAAACAGACCTCATGAAATTGTGCTGTTCCAAAACAACATATCTGTCTACAGAAAAGTATTTAATACTCTTTGAAGTACCTGTGAAAAGATGATATATGTGAGATGGAAATTGAGGATTGAGCTGACAGAGCTGGTGCAAGTAATGTTTTAAGTATGATTTAGATTCCTTCCAGTGAGTCGTTGGGAGATGATAATAACTTAGTATTGTCTGAAGTAGCAATCCACTGTGTTTGTTGGATTTACAAACTTTATTTACTTGTTTGATTTATTTTACTTTATTTTTTAGACACAGCTGCGAATCGACTCTTTCTTTAGATTAGCCCAACAGGAGAAGCAAGAAGCCAAACGTATTAAGAGCCAGAGATTAAACAGAGCTGTGACGTGTATGCTGCGGAAAGAAAGGGAAGAAGTAGCCAGTGAGCTAGAAGCAGTCTCTGTTGCTATGGAGAAAGAATTTGAGATGCTTGATAAGGCAGAAGGAGCAAGCCAGAAGAGAAGCACAGCGAGGAAACTGGAGGAGCCGTCAAGCCTGAAAAGAAAGAGGCTTTCAGCTTCTGCCCACGAGAGTCAGGCTGGTGGATTTCTGGGGGATGCCTACCTCTCAGAGTCCTCTGACACCTGTTCCGGTGAGGACGCGGAGCGTTTATCTCCAGTCAGCACGCAAAGGAAAACAGCAAAGGAGTCCACATGCAGCCCTTCAGCGTGGCAGAGCTCGGCCAGAGATGCGCGTGCCCGGGACGGAGGTGCCACGACCTGCAGCTCCAGCGATGGGGACGGAGAGGAGGCCGGGACCGTCCTGGTGACAGCCAGGCCTGTGTTTGGGAAGAAGAGGAGGAGGCTGAGAAGCGCACGGGGGAGGAAAAGGAAAACCTGATTTCACATACGTGTTCTCGAGGGGGATAACATTTTGTAATGAATTTGTTGTGAGGGCATCATGAAATTAAATGCCATTGCAATCGGTCTTGGTGTTTAGTGTGTGTTTTTTAAAAACAGACATTGTCCTGACAGTTATGTGTTTCTCTAGTGTTTTCTGAGCTTGTCTTTGTGTTCACAGACTTCGTCTCTCACTCCATTGCCTTATCACCTGTGCTGCTTTCTGCCTACGTGGCAAAGAAGAACGGGTTCATGTTGGTCGGTACTCACCCTCCACCTGCCTTCCCTAGACAGCCCACAGCACTGGCTGTGCGGGCATCTCCAGCCCTGCTCCCCACTGCCTCCTGGTTTCCCTCAGGGTCTACTCAAAAGGATAGCGGGGGTGGCGGTGGGGGGCCTTACTACTGGAACATATTTCGATAATGTAACCATAATTGGGAATCCTAAATAAGAGGCATCTTCCTACCTGTGATCTTTACCTGAGTATGAACCTCTGTACCATGCTGTTTGGCCTTAAAGCTACTTCGTCTGTCTTCAGAAGCTGACTTCTGAGTAAAGTGGCCTTGGAGGCTCAGGGCCTCAGGTGCAGGTGGGACCATTGTAGGAGCGGCCTGCTGGGGTTATTGTTGCTGACAGCTGGGTGTTCAGGGCACAGGAAGGTTGCTCCTGCCCAGACCTCACTAGAGTGAGTCCCAAGCTCCTGGTTACTTAGGACTAAAAACAATCTGAGCAGAGGGTTGCTTCCAGTTACTTTGAGCTTGGGGTCTTCTGCCTTCAAAAGTACCTTCTGTGTCTTCACTTCAAAAAGTCCTTGGAAAATTTGAATTAAAAGACAAGTTTATTTTGATGCAAAACTAGTTTGAAATCCAGGCATAGTTCTTTCACAATACACCCTTCTGATGATCATTCTGAATATGCATGGATTTTCAAGATTGTTTTGCTGCAAAGTAAGCTTATTTTATAATTCCATGTTCCATGAACTTTTTGAAGTACCCTTATATTTCCATCTTTTTGGATTTTTCATCCCCAGCCTTCAAATTGAAATTTTCACCAAAGAAAACAACTACAAAGAGATACTTTGCAGCATCTTTGAAGGCCTCCTAGCTGTGTTTTCTGGGCTTGCATTTATATTTATTTTTTAACCAAGTGCCTCACAGACCCAGCCCCAGCTGCTGCTTTGTATGCTCAGTGTTTCTTCCTCATTTCCAATCCGTCTCTGCTTCTCTGTCCTCTGTAGCAGCTTTCTTCTAAAGTCAATAGCAACTGCCACATAAATTAACTCAGATCTTTGCTTAATACTGCTTTTCTCTGCAGATATTTGAAGCACAATATTTTTGGTGGTGGTGGTGGTGGTGGTGGTGGTGGTGTGTGTGTAAGAGCAAATGTTTTTTTCATGTTATTGCCAAAACTCAATGCAAATGGTAATTGGGAGTTTTCTGCATAGATATTTTGTAGTTAAGGTAAACAGTTTTGTAGGGCCAGTGCTGTGGTGTAGTGGGTAAAGCTGCCACCTGCAGTGCTGGCATCCCATATGGGTGCCAGTTTGAGCCCTGGCTGTTCCACTTCCTATTCAGCTCTCTGCTATGGCCTGGGAAAGCAGTGGAAGATGGCCCAAGTCTTTGGGCCCCTGCACCCACGTGAGAGACCCAGAAGAAGCTCCTGGCTTTGGATTGGCTCAGCTCCGGCCATTGCGGCCACTTGGGGAGTGAACCAGCAGGTGGAAGACCTCTCTCTCTCTGCCTCTGCCTCTCTGTAACTCTGCCTTTCAAATAAATAAATAACTCTTTTAAAAAAAGATAACAGTTTTGTTAAACTGCTTAATTTTGTTGTCTTTAGTAAGAGAATTTGCACTCGTTTTGCTCAGTGCTAGCTGGGGTAATGGCTAACCTGCTGCAACAAAGAGATGTTCAAATACACTGATTCTGTGTTTCTCTGCAGGCTGACTGTTCTGAGCATGTGAAGATGTGTGGACGATGGAGTTATTCAGAGTCCCAGGGGCAGCCTGCTTGAGTGGTCTATATGGAGTGACTACCACTTCTGCATTTCAACCTTCTAGAAAGGGCAGGAGGCAAAGTCCAGGCCCAGCAGGATGTGTTATGTTGAGGTTGACTGTAAAAATTGCCTCTCTCATCTTGTTGGCCTGAACTGAGCATTTGAATACTCCTAGACATGTTTCAGAAATTAATTTCCAGTTGGTCTGTGTGCCTAGGAAGATAATCAAGAGCATTAGAAAAGTATGCCATAAGTATGACATTTATAGAACAACATGGCATTTTATCCTCTTTTTCCCTTAGCTCCATGCCCAAAATATCCTTTTAGAAGGGAAGAGACAGGTTTAGAGATATTAACCGACTTTACCAAATTTTTCTACCTAGTGACTTGAACCCAAATCTTCTAAATCAAAATTACAAGACAGGTTGCCTGTTTAAAATAATCAGCAGCAAAAAATATCCTTCAAAGCAAGTAGGTGTACCTATAGCTGATTTAGATGAAGACCTTTTTCTATAAAACTATGTTCTTGCTCATTCATCTTTTTTAATCTACATTTGCTGTTAAACTCATATACTGAGCTCTTTTTTTCATTTATTGTTATTTTCCAGTTCTAGTTGGCTCATTTTTATATATTCCATGTCTCTGGTGTAATTCCTGCCATCTACTTTTTGAACATCTTAGTAAGAATTGTTTTACAATCTGTGCTGAATAATATCTGAGTCACCTATGAGATTATTTCTGTTGTCTGTTTCTTGGTCTATCTGCTAAATTTTGACTGGATGCTGGACATTGCATGTGAGAAGCTGGAGATGCTATGAGTACCCCACAAATAGCATGTGACTTTAATATCCTTGTTTTATAGAAGAGGAAATAGAAAAACATTTATAAATGGCCTAAAATCATAAACTATATATTGACTCCTAGTCCTGTCTAGTATATTAAAGAGAGTTTATTTCAGCTTTGTTTGCACTGTGGTGTATGTGGGTAAAGTCTTTCTTAGAAGCTGTCCTCACACATAATGGTCTTGTTAACTCGAGTACCTTCATATTAAGGATGTGTTCAGTGACAAGAGTAATTTATGTGCAACTAAGACTCACACCTGTGTTGTACCTGCAGTTGCACAGATGGACATATCCTTCAGCCTTCCCATTCAAGTCTGGTTAGGAAGGAGTCATGGTAATTTGATCCCTGGGTGCAGAGTAATGCTGCCCACATTCTGGTGTAGTTGTTAGATTCTGAAAACTGTTCACACCCAGACATGTGATACTAAGGTATGCAGCCTTCACTTCATAGGACGTCCTATAGCTGTAGAGTCTTAGAATAACTCTTGGCATTGAAGTTAAAAAAAAAAAAAAAATGGATCACTGCCTCCAGATAGTCCTCACTGACCCGCAGAGTGGCTTGTATTCTAGCTCTGGAGCTGTTCATGGGACACACGGAGTACTGCCACAGTTCTTCAGCCCTCGTCATCACTGTGAAGCCAGAGGCATGGGAGCCGCAGCTGTCGGGATCCTAATTCCTCTGCGAGGAGTCGCTGCCAGTGTGTACAGTAATCAACTGTGCGCGCTGGTGCCATTCTTTTCCTACCAGCGTCTCAGCAGCAAAACACAAGTTGTGGATGATACTGTTTAACCTCCTAGAAATTCAAGCTAACTTTAGGTATGTCCAGGGTTAATATTTAGTAAATAGTGGTCTCCAGGCAAATCTGTTTAATGAAGATGGCGTTCTTTAATGGAAGAGATCCTAAATTGGGAATAAAACTTTTTCTATTGTTTTAGCTATGTGACCTCAGTGATGTAATTTAAACTTTGGTTTTCGTCATTTGTAAACTGTAGAGGAAATAATTTATGTTCTAATTTACTGAAGCATGTTGTGAAGAAAAGTGTATTGTCTGTGAAGGATATATGGGGATCCTAGGAAGGAGGGGATGCTATATTCATTCATGGTAGCACAGTGGTTATTTATTTTATGACCCAAAATTAAGAATTCAAGCATCCAATCATTTTTTTAAAGTTTAAATAGCAGCTCATTTAAGCTTATTCAGATTACCTGCTCTGTTTGAGAGGTCTAAAATCTGTAATTTCTGTAGTTTTAAGTATGCTTGCTGGGATTATAGGAATACTCTAAGGTAGAAGCTATTCAAAGCCATCTGGTGGTTAATCTGTTTGACATTGCAGTCACTGCTAATGACACACTGGTGAAAATGAGTGAATTCTGCATCCATTACCGGGAAGCTTTACTTTAGATTAATATTACGGTTTTTACTACACTAAACAAAACCCATTTCCTTCCATTGTTGTAATTACCTACTAAATTTTAGGATTGCTACGTCGCTAGTCAGTGTGAAGATGATGCTTGCCTTGGTGATCCAGGAAGACTCTGGTGAAAGACATGTCTGCTTTCTCTAGTAGCTTCTAAAATTTCTGATTTGAAGCCTTTATTCTAATTTTGATATGTAGAAGATAGTGTTTGGATGGTATTTCTTAAATCCTGCTTTGTTAATAGATGATATTTTAATATAATTTCCTCCACTATATTTGAAGTTAAGTGTTATTAAATATAAAACCATTCAATACATATTCAAATAGATTTTTAGCATTACATTTTTAATGTATTATTTGCCTGGTTTTCAAGAAATGATCAAGAAAACATCAGTATATCGTCGCTCACTAGTTCATCACTCTATGGATCCAGGAGCTCGAGAAGGTAAATCATTTTCTGTTCCTTTATGGAATCGCACCAATTCTAAGAAGACAACTGATAGAATATTACATCTTTTGTAGCGTTCATTGATGTCTTTAAGGGGGCTAGGACTTTTTTATCCATTGAATATTACACCTTGGCTTGTGTTTGCTGACCTACAAGTGTCTCAAATAATGTTTAATGTCAACCACTATAATATCCACTGTCCTGATGGCACAGAGATAATTTTGATAGACACTATATATTGTATTTAGACCTATTAAGTATTTAGACTTTTTTCATTTCCAAAAATGGAGTAATTTTTCCCAAGTACTGTATACTAAGAGCATGTTTGCCATTTCTATATTATTTCATTTCAGATAATAAGCTTGCAAGAAATATAAAAATGGCCTTATATAAAAACTAAAAATTTTCACTAGTGCTTGGGTGGAAGATGAATTTAAACTATAAAAAAATCCATATGCTATGTGTTGGTCTCTTTCTATTAGAGGCAAGCATAATGTAATTTGACCTAGAGATGTAAGGAGAATATAAGTAAGAAATGTATATAATATATATGTAAGTACTTATACACACAGTGTATGTGTGTATATAAGTAAAAAGAATATAAGAATATAAGTAAGGAGATATAAGGAGAATATGTCTAAATTGTGCTAGCAATGTGATTATTTGAAATTGATTCATGACTTTTACAGTCTTAAATATCAAGTGTGACTTTGCATGGATTGTGTAATTCAGCTATCCCCATTGACTTGAGATCAAAAGTATGGCTGTATAGTCTTGACATCAACTAGAAGAATTAGTATGTTTTTGTAGAGCAGTTATAATAAGGATATAATTATTTTGGTTTCTTCATTTCTCTCTGTCCTTATCTGTACCCACTGTAGATATTTTCTCAGAGCTGTGGTCTGGTATACTGCCACCCTCCAACCCTCCCGCCTGGTCATACCAGGTGGCTTCTGCCTAGATGAACATATCTCTGGGTGGAGAGAGCTGGGTAAATGCCCAGGGTTGGCAGCCTATGTGACAAACACCAATGATTATACTGCAGCAATTCTTGCAAATTTTAACTTATATCACTTAGAGAATCCAGCCAATTAGATGATGTCAGTGAAGATGCAATTTCTGTGTGGTTTATGAATAAAACCACATCATGACCATTACCACTAGAAACAATTCTTGGTTCTAGCTGTGCACACAATAATTTGGCAAATTACAAAGGAAATATAAGAATTCAAGGTAAGTTCAAAACAAATAGTACTAAAATACTTTACAACCCAAACAAACAGACCTTACAGTCATCTATCCCATCAGTCAAAGCCTTGAAGTACATTCAGAGCACAGGGCAAAGGGGATTCTGTGTGCTGCTGGAGCTGGTTGGGAGGATACTTTGTTGGACCTGGTTCCACCAAGTAGAGGAACACTCAGTTCCCAAGTACTGAAAGATGTTGACTTTTCCTGTCCTAACTTTTATACTTAGTATCTTGTGCTTGGAAAGGACAGAGCTAACCCAAAGCTCAGTTCTCACATTTCAACATTGGCGAGAAGGTTCAAGAATTATAGGATGTCACCTATTTATATACAGGTTAAAATTAGGACTATGGTGGTGCTAAAAATTCATCTCTATGATTCTAATGCTACATTATTCCCTCATGTATCTAAAAACTCATCCATGTGAACTATTCCAAGTATCCTATGTTGCCAACTCCCTGCCAACAGCCCCTCTCCAGCTGTTAACACATAGAGCAATATTTTATAAAAAAGTTAGGTCTCCTCACTGTCTGAAGCTTGGAACAGACTCATCCTCAGGGATTTAAGCACATAGTGATTCCCAAGCCCATTGCTCTGCTTTCTTGACATTCTACATACTGCATTGTGTCTGTGGGTCCTTTAAGAAGTGGATGCCAAAACTGGATTAAATATGCAAGGGATGTATTAGGGTAGATGTTTGCTGAGGATAAAGAATAAAAGAACAGAAATGGGCAGGGGGAGTCTTCAGATCATGACAGGTGAGCAGGAAGAGCCCCCGACTTGGACAGTTCTGAGAGTCTTGGGTAGACTGGTGGGGAGTCCCTGAGCAAAAGTTGTCCACCAGAACACTGACTTGTATGGAATAGGAACTGGCTAGCGTTAGTAGGTATGCCCAAGGGGAAACATGGCATCCTAGCAGGCAAAGGTACAACAACTGTCACTGTTGGCCAACTGTGCTTAAAACAGGTTCCCATGGTCTGAGTGGCTGGCCCATAAGCCACAGATTATTAGGCATTCAAAATAAATTTCCTGATCTGGCTTTGTAGAGCAGTTGGTTAAGCTGGCATCCCATATTGGAGCCCTGATTCAAGTCCCAGCTGCTCCACTTCTGATCCAGCTTCCTGGTAATATGCTTGGGAAGGCAGTAGGTAATGGTCCAAGTACCTGGGCTCCTGCCACCCATGTGGGAGACTAGTATGAAGTTCCTGGCTCCTGGCTTCAGCCTGTCCTAGCCATGGTTGTTCTGGCCATTTGGGGAGTAAACTAGCATATGGATAATCTCTCTCTCTCTCATCCCCAACCACACCACTCTACCTTTCAAATAAATAGATAAATCTTAATTTTTTTCCTTTGCAAATTTTCCCTCAACCTATATTTTGTATCTCAATTTATGACAACATCATTTTTTCAGCTATATGGAAGCCTTGAATCACCCTTGCCTTCTCCCTTTCCTTGGAACCTCTCATCACATTCCGTTGATTCTACCTTACTAATATGTTTCCCTACCCCTCCTCCCATGTCTATCCCCAATACCCTTGATTTGGGTCTTTATTTATCCTCTTGGCTGTTGATAAATGCCTTCTAATTGGCTGGCTAACTCCCCTCATTTTCATTCTGTAGCTCTCTGCCACACTGTAGACTGCATAATCTTATTAAAATTCAAGTCTTGTCACATTTGTCTTCTGCTTAAGTTCTTCAGTGCCTCCTTGTTTCTTAGAGGATAGTATCAAAATTTCTTGGCATAAAGTGTTTTGTCTCATATCTCTTCCCCCTGCTTATCTTACATTTTAATTCTCAGAGTTTCCCAAGTTGCAAAATTGGTCGAGAGACTTTTTCCAGTGAGGTTTTGTATTTGTTGTATCTTGCCTATGGCATGTCTTCCTTTCTCTTCTTTGACAGAGTCAACCATCAAGGCTTGGCTAGTTCTTTGCTGAACTCTGAGATGTGGAACTTCCCTTACTAGTTTTGAATCATCTAGGTGAGATTTTGTTATCACATTTGTGTGTTGGTCTGCCTTTATGTTCATAGTGCACAGGAGCTCAACAAATGAGTGAATGAATTAGCTTTTTTTTTTTTTTTTAAGATTTATTTACTTATTTGAGAGTCAGAGAAGGAGAGGCACAGAGAGAGTTCTTCCATCTGCTGGTTCCCTCCCTAATAGGCTGCAATGGCCAGAGCTGTGCCATTCCAAAGCCAGCAGACAGGAACTTCTTCTGGGTCTCCCACGCAGGTGCAGGGACCCAAGGACTTTGGCCATCTTCTACTGCTTTCCCAGGCCATAGCAGAGAGCTGGATCAGAAGTGGAACAGCCAGGTCTCGAACTGGTGCCCATATGGTATGCCTGCACTGTAGGTGGTGGCTTAACCCGCTGCGCCACAGTGCTGGCCCCATGAATTAGCTTTAAGTTACTCCATTTGAGTGATAACCTTCCTAAGTATTTAGACTTTTTCTATTTCCAAAAATGGAGTAATTCTTCCCAAGTGCTATATACTAAGAGCATGTTTGCCATTTCTATATGGCATCCCTTCAGGATGTGCTATAGTATTCTACACAGGGTGTCACATGGAAATATTTCAGATTTCATAAATCATTAAAGATGGGGTTAGTGGGTAACACAGTTTTTATAAATAATATTGTCTTAATATAAAGAAAACAAAGTTTGAGTATTTTCATCACTAAGAAACCTATGAGATGATGATCTGAGGCAGTGTATTTAATATTACTTGTTGGAGAACTATAGCTCATATAATTATTGTTGTGAGAATAATTCAGTAACACACTTTAAATGCTTACAAAGTAACCTGAAAAAGTATCTGCTAAATCAGACTAATGTGCTTTCTACATGTTGAATAAAAATGACTCCTAAGTATACAGTCTGCCTCAGATGTCTTCAAAACAGGTCTGAATGTCAGTTGCCCCCAGGTGAGGCATACCCTGCTCAGGATCACATAAATTCAAACTTAGCTTCTTGACCCAAAGCCACTGCCTTCATTTAGATTCTTGTCTTTCATCTGGATTATTGCAACAGCCTTCTAATTACCTTTCAACATCACCAGTTCTTCACTTACCCCTGCCAGATACAGTTCTTATATATCAAATCTGATCACGTCAATTCCTGTCTTAACATCTCTACTGGCTCTTCTTCACCTTACAGAACAAAGGTCAACATTGCACAGAAGTCTGATGTTGACTGACTTCTTTTTTTAAAAGATTTATTTTATTTATTTGAAAGAGTTACAGACAGAGGTAGAGACAGAGAGAGACGTCTTCCATTCACTGGATCACTCCCCAGGTGGCCGCAATGGCTAGGAAGCCAGGAGCCAGGAGCTAGGAGCTTCTTCCTGGTCTCCCACGTGGGTGCAGGGGCCCAAGGACTTGGGCCATCTTCTACTGCCTTCCCAGGTCATAGCAGAGAGCTGGGTCGGAAGAGGAGCAGCCCATATGGGATGCTGGCGCTTCAGGCCAGGGCTTTAACCTGCTGCGCTACAGCACCTGCCCCCACTGACCCCCCCTCCCCCCTTTTTAAAGATTTATTTTCCCAGGCTTATTTCCTACAGTGCCCCAACATGCACCTGTGTGCTACCTCCATGGATCTTCTAATGGCTCCCAAGCTCAAATGTCTCCCCCTTCAGGACGCTTCTGACTCAGCAAGCCATATTGCGTTCCATAGCACTTTAGGAATATCTCTTTTATAGCACCTACCCACCTGCCTTGGCATTTGTTTAGCTGTCTGTCCCTTCCATGATCCTGGA